ATATGATACCTATTTCTGTATTTAAGAACCAATTTATAGCTTCTTTCTAAAACCTCATTTTTAATCTTCATGTATTTGAAGACTTTTTGACATATTGATTAATCAAATAATTTTAAATGTAATCCCCTGGAACAGAGAAAAGGATCTCTTCTGTCAGAATGGAGCTACTGTGTTTCCCCGAAAATAAGACAGGGTCTTATATTTATTTTTCCTCCAGAAGACATCCTAGGGCTTATTTTCAGGGGATGTGTTATTTTCCCCTCAAAGACTCAGCTTACAGCACGCACAGGATGGCCGCGACCTGACAGGAGAAGCCGACCTTGTGGGTGAGGCTGCCCGCACCTTTGCAGTCACCTCTGGGATAGTAGCTGTCACGATGGGGCAGATGAGAAGGGCTGCTCCTCCTCTTTAAGCTCAGCCATGAAATGCATGGGTTGTGCAGATACGCTGCGTGGCCACGCCCATCACTAGGTCTCATTTTCGGGGTAGGGCTTCTATTATGCAAATGCTTAGAAATCCTGCTATGGCTTATTTTATGGGTAGGTCTTATTTTCAGGGAAACACAGTATGTATATGACTTCATCTATGTCACTCTAGAGCATGGGTCCTCAAACTTTTTCAACAGGGGCCCAGTTCACTGTCCCTCAGACTGTTGGAGGGCCATTGGAGAGTGCGGCGCACATTCCACACGTGGGCCTGGAACCAGTTGGCTGCTAAGCAGGACAGGAGGTGGCGGGTGGTGGCAAAAACACCCGCAAGACTGGATAAATGTCCTTGGCGGGCCGCATGTGGCCCATGGGCCGTAGTTTGAGGACCTCTGCCCTAGAGCATTCAAATCACACAGTGATTTTTCATAATTCTTCTGTATATTTTCACTGATTGTTACCTGTCTAGGTGTAGCATTATTTTTTGTCAACCGTCTTTATGTTTCAAACATCTTTATAAAAGCATAAGTACATCACTGCTTGTTCTCCCTGAATAATTTGTTTATGTTCTCATGCTCTGGTAGCCTGTGTAAGGCACACAGACTTTTTTTAATCATTGGTGACTATATAAGCCTAATGCCTTTATGCCTAGCTACATTAAAAATATACATACTTGAAAAGTTTAAACTAATGATATATAAGAAAACATAAAGCTAAAAGGTAAAGTAATTTCTGTAGATGTTACAGAAAATTTTTAAATATTCATGTTCTATAAAGAGTTTCCACAAAGGATAAAAGTTATAAATAGAATTATAGGAAAAACAAATACAATAAGCATTTTATAGGAAAAATACAAATGACCATATTATGTAATTGTTATTCCTAATAATCTAAAACAACAGTGAAGACAACAATGATATCAAATTGGCCAAAATTCAAAGGATTAAAAATATCTGTTTTGGCCGGTTGCGGTGGCTCACACCTGTAATCCTAGCTCTCTGGGAGGCCAAGGCAGGCGGATCGTTTGAGCTCAGGAGTTCAAAACCAACCTGGGTAAGAGTGAGACCCCGTCTCTACTATAAATAGAAAGAAATTAATTGGCCAACTAATATATATAGAAAAAATTAGCCGGGCATGGTGGCGCATGCCTGTAGTCCCAGCTACTCGGGAGGATGAGGTAGTAGGATTACTTGAGCCCAGGAGTTTGAGGTTGCTGTGAGCTAGTCTGACGACATGGTACTAACTCTAGCCTGGGCAACAAAGTGAGACTCTGTATCAAAAAATATATATATATATCCGTTTTAGTCAGAGTAAGGGAAAATGGATACTCTGATCCATTGTTGAAACAAAAATTGGTATAACCCTTTTGGAGGGTAAATATTAATATGAATATAATGTTTGATCATTTCCATTTCTGAGACACTGTCCTTTAACACATTGACTGCCACACTAGGAAAAAATTTTTTTCCTTGAGGCCATGGTGTTTTATTATGAAAATAGAATAAAAACTTCAAAAACATATTTTTTTTATTGTTTTCTGTATTTTTTGATAAAGTGATATAAAAACTTAAACAATAGTAATGTAAAAAGTAATGTGAAATCTTGAAAAATAGTTCATAAAGGTACAGTGTTTTTCTTGACTTTTCAGGCTTAAGTATAAGTTAAAGGTAAACATACACAGAAAAATAATTTATCGACTTCTATTCATTTAATTCACATTTTTAGAATTAAATTATCAATATTAATTACAACAATGAGAACATCAATAAGTAAGATTTCCATGAACCAACTTCAGGGTTTTGCCCAGGTTTTGCTTCACAAGGGCCTGGGATCAAAACTTGCAAGAGTTAAATACAACTCACACGGCAGTTAATGTGTTAAAATATTTATAGAAATGTTAGAAATATTTGCAGAAACATAAACATATAGAAGAATATACACCAACATGTTAATAGTGGTTATCTCTGGAAATGAAGGAAAGAGGCAGGCAAAGTGGGGGAGTCTTTGAACTCTTACTTGATATCTGTATGTCATTTTGCATTAATAAGTACAATAATTAAGATAATTATTTTTAACAGCTGCCCTATACCACTTAAAATTTAATTTTTTCCCATCCATAAAATTTTAGTGGGTGTGAGTTATTGTTCTCTTAACATGTGACAATAGAGAGGTTGGAATATTTAAGTAGCCTTAACTAATTAGTTTGTGTATAGACTAATAGTCTCCAAAGGAAAAGTGGGAAGGGCATCTGTATGTCACAAAGAAAGGTAAAATGAACAAGTGGGATATTGTAGAAAATAATACAATATCTATTCATACTCATCCTAATTCTCATCCTTTTTTGAGACAGAGTCTCGCTCTGTTGCCAGGGCTAGAGTGCATTGGTGTCGTCATAGCTCACAGCAACCGCAAACTCCTGGGCTCAAGCAGTCCCCCTGAGTAGGTGGGACTACAGGCACCCACCACCAGGCCCAGCTAATTTTTCTTTCTTTTTTTTTTTTTTTTTACATTTAGTTGCCTGGCTATTTTTTCTATTTTTAGTAGAGGTCTCGCTCTTGCTCAGGCTGGTCTTGAAGTCCTGACCTCAAGTGCTCCTCCTGCCTTAGCCTCCCATCATCTTTTTTACATTACTATTTTTTTTTTTTTTTTGAGACAGAGTCTCACTTTCTTGCCCAGGCTAGAGTGAGTGCCGTGGCATCAGCCTGGCTCACAGCAACCTCAATCTCCTGGGCTCAGCGATCCTACTGCCTCAGCCTCCCTAGTAGCTGGGACTACAGGCATGCGCCACCATGCCCGGCTAATTTTTTTTTGTATATATATTTTTAGTTAGTCAATTTCTTTCTATATTTTGGTAGAGACAGGGTCTTGCTCAGGCTGGTTTTGAACTCCTGACCTCGAGCAATCCGCCCGCCTCGGCCTCCCAGAGTGCTAGGATTACAGGCGTGAGCCACCGCGCCCGGCCTACATTACTATTTTTAAGCCTGCTATTGTAAAATCAAATATATACATGTATATTTTAGTGAATCATTGTAAGGTGAACATCCTTATAACTACCACCCAGCTCAAGCTGTAGAACTTTGTTGTCTATTCCAGAAGCCTTCTTCCAATAATGTCTCCTTCCTATGCAGTGTTTTATTGTTGGTGTTTTTAAGATTTTTATCACAAAAGTGTGCCTTCCTATATACTGTAGCTTGGTCTTGCTGTTTTTATGTGTTTTTTAAGCAGATAATTTTAAATCTCTTTTAATCTACAGTTTATTCCTTCTTTCCTTACACTTCTTAGAATTTACCTAGTGAGGACTTAGATCGTTTCACCTGTAGTTTCTTACAGTCTGGATTTTGTTGACCATGTATTCATGATGCAGTTCAACATGTTCTGCTGTCTTTTGTATTCCCCACAGATTAGGAGCTTGATCCAGAGGCATGGTCAGATTCAGGATTGATCTCTTTTTTTGGTTCTTTTGTCAGGAGGAGCATAATGCCTGGTTTTTTAAATCTTTTTGGATGCTAGCAGCCATTTATGCTTAATGCCGACATCCATTAATTCACTGGAGGATGCAAAATAGAGATGTCCTAATTCTTTTTGTCTTTAATTATTCACTTGAATGATTTTATAAGGAGTCACTTCCCTTCTTTTACTATTCACTTACCCAGTGGTATAGCTAATGTACGAATATCTCTTTACTGTAGCCTGCCTTAGTAGATAGTAGAGGAGGTAAGGAATATGTTACCAGGTAAAGTGTGTCTATAGTTTGCCTTATTCAGTGTGGGGTTAAGAAGACGATTATAAAATCTTATTTATATTTTCATTAATTCTATCTTCTGAGCAAATGAATGCTAAGAGGTAAAAGCATGCTTGCTGTATTAGGTTGCCTGTAGAATGTTTCAAATGAAGAAGCAAACTGTTTCAAGATTCATTAGCATCTAAGAAAAATATTTTTTATTCTACCCATTCTCTAATTAATGCAGGTTTGGTATTCAAATTGAACCATTCATTATGAAAACTCTGACTCATTCTTTAAGGCACAGTTCAAATTTTCTTCACGGGAGTCTTCCAAACTCTTCAAGAATTTTTCTCTTCTCTGTACTCCCATGATGTTTCAAATGTGTTATATAGGACTTCTCATTATGTTTTAAATATTGTTGTGTTATAGGTTCCCCTTCACCAAACTATGAACTCATTCATGTTTTATTTATTTTTGCAATCTTAGCATCACATTTACTTCAGTGATTGGATCGTAGTAGTTTTAGAAATGGAAAAAGGGATACTCAGTCATCATTTACAAAAAGAAGGCCCTTGATTTCTAGATTTCAGCATCCTACTCCAAAGAGTCAGTTCCAGTCATTAATTGGAAATACTGAGATCATTTTTATGTTAGATTAATGAATTTTAATAATGAAACATTTAAGTTTGGTTTGAAGTTTGTCCTTTATTTTTGTGTGGTAACAATTAACCATTTGAGTTTACAAATATTATATATAATTCTGTGCTACCTTTAAAAATGTCACAATTTATTTAAAAAAACTTAGTTTAAAAAATATCTCTAACAATTAAAGCCTTTCTTTTTTTTTGAAGGATCAAAGTAACAATGAAATTATGATTGGTGTGATGTCAGGCGGAATTCTGATTTATAAGAACAGGGTACGAATGAATACTTTTCCATGGTAAGAACTTCCATTGATACTTTTGCTTTTACCACTAAATTATGAAATATAATAATTTATATTACAGGAAGTAACTGTTGAACTCTTCTAATGTTGTCAGTTTACTTGTGTGATACAACTTATACTTTATCCCACTTACTTGAAGCCTACCAGAAGATACCAAAATAATTTATTTATTTCGAATTACTTATTAGAAAATATTACTTAATTTTTCTCTTAGAGAGATTTGAAAGATGTTCAGAGCTTTCTGTTCTCCTTAACAAAGGCCTGCCCTCAGGAAAATATACTTTACCAGCACCTAAATAACATGGGTTTTATCAGAACCTAATCAAAGCAGGGGATTGTCTCATATAAGGAGGGGTGACCTGAGAAGTCATTGTCAAAGGGGCACAGACCACTCAACCACTGAGACCTAATTTTAGGATGAATCAATGATTCCTCCCATTCCACACCTTTCTGCCACATCACCAGGGCTCTCATATAATAACGCAATCACAACTAAAAGCTGCAAGTCTCAGATTATTTAGGAGTCTATAAGGAAACCCCAAAACAACTTGGAAGATAAAAAAACAAGGACACTAGAGAAAATTATAAACTCTTGACACCTATAATTTATTTACAAAGAACAGGAAACATAGCCTTGTATCCTACCAGATAAACATAAAACTTCACACTAAAAGCATATTTACTGTAGTTCTTTTTACCTGGTATTTTATATCCAACATTTAACAAAATTACAAAGGCATACTGAAAGTCAAAAACAGTTTGAAGAGACAAAGCAAGCATAAGAACCAGACTCAAATATGGAAGAGATTTTAAAATTATTATATGAGAAATATAAAATAATTATAGTTAATTTACCAATGGGTCTAATCAAAATGTACGCCGTGCAAGAACATATGGATAATGTAGGCAGAGAAATGGAAAGCCTATGAAAGAAAAACAGGCATGCTAGAAATCAAAAACACTGCAAATGCCTTTGATGTATTCTTATCAGTAGATTGTTACATGAGAAAGAATAAGTGAGATTAAAGATATGTCAGTATAAACTTCACAAACTGAAAAGCAAAAAGAAAAAAAGAAAAGACAGAATATTTAAGACTTGTAATGGGAATACCAGGAAGAGAATAGAGAGAAATGAACAGAAGAAATATTTGAAGAAATAGTGACTGAAAGTTTTCCAAAATTCATGGCAGTGACTGAATCACAGATCTCAAAAGTTGAGAACACCTAGCAGGTTAAATACCAAAAGAATCCATACCTACACATTTTGTATTCACACTGCAGATAATCAAAGACAAAGATAAAATCTTGAAAGAAGCAAAACATGGAAAACACTTTTTCCACAGAGGAAAAAGGATAAAAATTACATTGGATTTCTCTTCAGAAACCATGCACACAAGAAAAGAATGGAGTAAAATATTTTAAAGTGCTGTTAGAAAAAACCCACCAATCTAGAATTCTGTATCTAGCAGAGTTATCCTTCAGCAGTGAAAAATAAATTAAGACTTTCACAGACAGATAAAAATTGAGGGAATTTGTTGCCAGTAGACCTGCCTTATGATAAATGTTAAAAGAAGTTCTTCAGAGAAAAGGAAAATAAGACAAATTTGGATTGACATAAAGAAAAGCAGAGGGGGGTCGTTAAGATGGTTGACTAGAGTCACTCAGCACTCACCTCCTCCACAAAGAAGGACCACAACAGCAACTAGGTAAACATATATCAAACAGAACATCTAAGAGAAAATGCTGAAATTTAGCAGAGAAGTGACAAGGAACTTCTGCATCATGGAAAGAGAGGAAACCAAAGCAGCTGACTTGGCTAGGATTGGCTCAGAGCCAGGAGAAACTCCCCATTTTGGAACAAAAGGTAAATAGAGATCCCTGGTGGGCCACCACATTCCCATCTCAGATTCCTGCAATCCCTTCCACGATAGAGCCTATTGTCCCTCATGGGCCTTGAGTAGAGTATAGGGAGCTGACCTAGAGTTCACACCATGTTATTATTTCAGAGAGGAAGTTCCTGCTAGTCCCCACGTGCCCTGAGTCCTGGTCAGTTCCAGCACAGTTCCTTTTTGAGAGCCCATTAGCCACCAGAATACATTTTGCCCCGGGGCCCAACAGCCCCTGCATCTCCACATCCCTGAGACCTAGCTGACAAACCCCAGCATCCACACAGGAGGTTGCAGAGTCACAACGTCATCTGGACCCACTGGTGCAGCAGGGTCCCCAGTACTCTAGGCACCACAGTATCTTTTGGCCCAGGAAAGGGCAGTGCGGTATACCAGAGATGCTGTCCCCAGGACAGAAGTAGCCAAAGTATGCACTCCCCTGAGCTTGATAGCTGCCTGGCTAAGGACATTGCCCCACCCCGTCAGTGGCAGGACCTCTGTGCACCTGCATACACTTTGAAGGGAGCCTCAGGACTTGCCTGCCTTGGCCTACCTCAGGGCCTGAGGACAGACCATCCCTACCCATTACTACTGCTGCCACCAGCTAAGCATGCCATCTAGGAGCCTGGTGTTGAACTTCCCCATCCACTGTCACTGGTGCACACCATCAGGGTCCTGAGGACAGAACTGGCCCACCAGCTGCCGCCAGTACCCACACACATCATTTAGGAGCTTGGGGATTGACCCACCCTGTCCCCAGCTCCCATCCTTGTATGATGTCAGATGATTGAGGGATTGGCCCCCCCGCCTGCAGCCAGTGGCTCATGCATGTGCCTTTCAAGGCCCTAAGGATGGGCCCACTTTGCCCCCCATGGGCACCTCGAAGGGTCCAAGAGACCAGCCCATCCAGCCTGCCTCCACCACTGCCAGCACTCACCCATGTGACCACTCAGGGCTCCAAGGGTTCACCCACTTTGGCTACTGCCACTGCTGATACCACCCAAGGGCTGGCATACCTGGCCTGTCATTATCATGTCTGGTGCCCAAGGACTGGTCCACATGGTGTCCCCAACCCCAGCAAATACCACAGCCCCCATTAACAGCCACAGCCTAACCCATAGAGGAACTCACAGATATCACTGACACTAATTACAGCTGAAGAAATCATATGAAGACTACACTACTGCACCCATCCAGAATCAAAGCCAAAGCATGTTATCCAATACTATAGATACATCTATAGGAAAAAGGCTTCACCTATGAAAGCCCTTCCATAAAATTGGAAGAAGCACCTGTTACACCAGATGTGCAGGTATCATCATAAGGATACAAGAAATATGAAAACACGACACCCCCAAAAGAGCCCAATAATTCTTTAGTAACAGATCCCAAAGAAAAGAAATCTATGAAATGCCTGAAAAAGAATTCAAAATAATGATACTAAAGAAACTCAGTGAGATACAAGAGAATGCAAATAGAAAACCTTCTGGAAAGGACGTCATTCTAGATGCCATAAAGAACATTCATGATTCACAGGAGGAGGGCAAAATAGCATCATTAGCAGGAAGAAGTTGATTCCAACCCTCATGGATGACTTTGAGGGGTTCAAGACTTCAGTGGAGGAAGTAACTGCAGCTGGGGTGGAAATAGCAAGAGAACTAGAATTAGAAGCAGAGCCTGAAGATATGACTGAATTGCTGCAATGTCCCGATAAAACATCAACCAGATGAGGAGTTGCTTCTTAGGGATAAATAAAGTGGTTTCTTGAGATGGAATCTACTGGCGAAGATGCTATGAATATTGTGGAAATGAAAACAAAAGATGTAAAATATCACATAAACTTAGTTGATAAAGCAGTGGCAGAGTTTGAGAGGATTGACTCCAATTTTGAAAAAAGTTCTGTGGGTAAAATCTCGTGCTACAGAGAAATCTTATGTGAAAGGAAGAGTCAGTCCAGTGTTACAAACTTAGTTGTCTTATTTTAAGAAATTGCCACAGCTACCCAAGCCATCAGCAACCACCACCTCAGTCAGTAACCATCAACTTCAGGCTAAGACCTTCCACCAGCAAAAACATTACAACTCACTGAAGGCTTAGATAATCTTTAGAATTTTTTAGCAAGAAAATATTTTTTGATTAAGGCATGTACATTGTTTTTATAGACATAAGTCTTATTGTATACTTATTAGACTACAGAGTAGTGTAAACATAACTTTTATATGCACTGGAAACAAAAAATTTCATGTGATTGGCATCATTACAATACTCGCTTTGTTGTGAATATTGAATAGCTTGGAACTAAACTCTCAAAATCTGCACTACGTTAGGAATGGAAGAGGGGATGTCACTACAGATCCTATGTACATTAAAAACATAGTAAAATGATAATTATGAACAGATTTGTGAATATATGAGTATCATGTAATAAATTTTACAACATAAATTAAATGTACAAATTCCTTAAAAGACACAAATAAACAAAAGTTACCTAGAAGAAATAGAAAACTTGAACAGTCCTGTATCAGTTAAAGAAATTGGATTTGTAGGCCGGGCGTGGTGGCTCACGCCTGTAATCCTAGCACTTTGGGAGGCTGAAGTGGGCGGATCCTTTGAGCTCAGGAGTTTGAGATCAGTCTGAGCAAGAGTGAGACCCAGTCTCTGCTAAAAATAGAAATAAATTAATTGACCAACTAAAAATATATATACAAAAAAAAAATTAGCCAGGCATGGGGGCACATGCCTGTAGTCCCAGCTACTCGGGAGGCTAAGGCAGTAGGATCTTCTTGAGCCCAGGAGATTGAGATTGCTCTGAGCTTGGCTGATGCCATGGCACTCACTCACTCTAGCCTGGGCAACAAAGTGAGACTCTGTCTCAAAAAAAAGAAAAAAGAAAAGAAATTGGATTTGTAATTAACCTTTTGATTATTAGAATTCCAGGCCCAGATTGTGAATTCTATCAAACAATTAAGGTAGAAGTAATACCAATCCTTCATAAGCTCTTTTAGAAAATAAAAAAAGAAGAAGAAACATGTTTTAACTAGTAATTAACCTGATTTTAAAACTAGGTTAATACCTTACAAGAAAAGATAACTGCAGGGGCTAGGTGCAGTGGTTCATGTCTGTAAACCCAGCACTCTGGGAGAAAAAGGCGGCAGGTTCACTTGAGTTCTGGAGTTCAAGACCAACCTGAGCAAGAGCGAGACCCAGCTCTATTAAAAATAAAAAAATTATCTGGGCATCGTGGTGTATGCCTGTAGTTCCAGCTATTCAGGAGGATCTCTTGAGCCCAGGAGTTTGAGGTTGCTGTGAACTAGGCTGTCACTCCGGCACTCTTGCCCAAGCAATCGAGTGAGACTGTATCTCTTAAACAAAAAAACAAAAGAAAAGAAAGAAAAGAGAACTGCAGTTACTCATGAATGTAGATGCAAAAATCCTTAACAAAACTTGAGCAAAGTGATTCAACAATATATAAAAATGGCAATCCATCACGTTCAAATGGAGGTTATTTTAGGAATATAAGGTTGCTCTAACATCAGAAAGTCAGTGTATTTAATTAACATATTAATGTATAAAAACCATATGATTATTTCAGTAGATGGAGAAAAAGGATTTGACAGCATTGAAAATCCATTGATGATAAAAAAAAAATAAAAACTTAGCTAACTATAAATAAAAAGGTACTTTCCCATCTTTATTAAGAGCATCTACAGAAAATGTTATAGAATATGGTGAAAGCCTCAGTGGTTTTTATGTAAGATGAGGAACACATATGCTTGATCTTACTACTTCGTCTTTGTACACTGAGTTATAAACAATGTTTTAAGCCCAGAAAAATAAATAAGAAAAGGCAAACAAAAAAAGGTAAAACTGCTTTATTTATAGACAAGAATATATATGTAGGTTGGCCAAAAATAAAGGGATGAAAAAGATGAACCATGCAAGTAGTAAACATAAGTCTAGAATGGGGGCCAGGCTCAGTGGCTTATACCTGTACTTCTAGCACTTTGGGAGGTGGAGGCGGGAGGATTGCTTGAGGCCAGGAAGGAGTTCAAGACCAGCTTGAACAACATAGCAAGACCCTGTCTCTATAAAGAATTTAAAAATTACTTAAGTGTAGTGGCATGTGCCTGTAGTCCCAGCTACTTGGGAGGCTGAGGCAGGAGTTATTACTTGAGCCCAGGAATTTGAGGTTGCAGTTAGCTATGATGACACCGCTGTACTCTACCTGGGGTGACAGAGCAAGACCCTGTCTCATGGGAAAAAAAAAAGAAGAATAGAATGAGTAGTTATTATGCACAATAGTCCAACCAGTTTGGAAAGTTATAGTTTCTTACCAAGTTAAAGATATGTCTGCCATATAACCTAACCATTCCACTCCTCATATTTAACCAAGAGAAATTAAAGCGAATGTCTGTACAAAGACTTGCACACAAATGTTCATTGTGGCTTTTTTGTAATAGCCAAAAACTAGAAACAACTTAAATATTCATTGTGAACTGATGGCTATATTCATCCATATTGTGGTATATCCCTAAAATGGAATGCTCCTCAGCAAGAAAGAGAAAAGAATTACTGAAAAACACATCAATGCAGATGAATCTCTAAATGATTAAGCTGAGTGAAAGAAGACAGATGAAGAAGAGTACTATATGGTTTCATTTATATAAATTCTAGAAAATACAAACTTTGATAGAAAGTTGATCAGTGGTTACCTGGATGGGGGATGGTTAGTGTGTTGGGGTTCTAGAGGCTGATTACAATGTGATAAGAGGAATCTTTGGGGGTGATAATTATGTTCTATCTTGACTGTGATGGTGGTTTTATAAGTATATACATATGTTAGGCTTATCAAATTATATACAGTAAATATTACAATCTGTTGCATGTCAATTATGCTTAATAAAATGGGAAAAATAAACACTCAAAAACATGTGAAAGTTAGGCATTAAAGCTTAGAAAATGATTATATGATTACATAATTACTATTCCAGTAGAAACACAGAACAAATAGCAAAAAAATTGGACAAATAGCAAAAAAATATTATGGTAGAGATAAATTCAAGTATGTCAGTTATTTCTAAAACTGTAAATGTGTTGAATCTTTAAATTGAAATGCACAGATTATCAATCTGAGTCTTTAAACAACTTTATTGCTATAATTTATATACTATAAATATGCCTATTAAAGTATACAGTTTAATGGGTTTTGTATATTTGCAGAGTGCAACATCACCATAATCTAATTGTGAATCATTTTCATTATCCCCAAAAGATACCTTGTAACCATTAGCAGTCATTTCATATCCCCTTCTCTGCCTCCCACCCACCTTCAGTCCTGGGCAATCACTAATCATTTTCTTTCTCTATAGATTTGCCTATCCTGACTATCCCATTAAATGAGTTCATATACTATGTGATCTTTGTGATTGATTTATTTCATTTAACATAATGTTTTTGAAGTTCATGTTGTAACATGTATAAGTTTTGCATTCCTTTTTATTGCTGAATAATATTCCATTCTCTTATTTTGCCACATTTTGTTTATCAGTCCATCGGTTTTTTCCTTTTTTTTTGCCATTAAAAATAATGCTGCTGTGCACTCATGTACATGATTTTGTGTGGGCAAATGTTTTCATTTCTCTTGAGTATGTACCTAGCATGGAATTACTAGGTTTGGTAAAATGTTTTCCAACTGTTTACATCATTTTTCATTCCCACCAGTAGTGTATGCAGGCTCAGTTTTTTCACATTCTCACCAGCACTTATGTTTATTTTTATTTTTTATTATAGCCATTCCCTGAGCATAAAGTAGTGTTTCATTGTAGTTTTTATTTGCATTTCCTTAATAGCTAATGATATTTGGCATCTTTTCATGTGTTTATTGATCTTTCATTTATCTTTTCTGGATTATTCAAATTGGTTAAAAATCAATCTATATACTATTTAGAAGAAACATACCTAAAATATAAAGAAACAGAATGGTTTAAAGTAAAAGCATTGAAAAGATAAACCAGGGATATAGAAACCAAAAGAAAACTGTTATAGCTATATTATTAATGTACAAAATAGATATTATTTCAAAGGTTTTTTTCATACTTTGAAATTTTTCTGAAAAAACTTTTATAGCTATAAGTATAGAATAAAAATTATACAGAATATATTTATAAGAAAATATTAATACAAGCATTATAAAATAGACTTTATGTTAAAGGGAGCATCTGTTGTAAGGATTTTTATTCATTGCTTGATGCTTTTCTGCAATTTTTGAAATTAAGGTGATTTGAATCTGACTTAGGTTTTCTTTCTCTTAATCATTTTGAAATTATTAGGTTTTTGTTTTTATTTGTTACTAGTTTGATGACTCTTAATGGAAGTAATTTATAACTTCTAAAATATATGTTATGTCTCATTTTTTTTAATTGAGGCACATAGCTTCCTTTTTTCCATAAATGTAATCTGTGTTTTATCTAGTCATTTTTTTCACTTTCTGGAAATAATGCTCTCCATCTTGTGACAGAAGAATTTCCTCATGTTGTCATATCTTTGTCCAGTGAAAGCTCAGGATCCAAAAATAAAATAAAAATCTCAAACCAAAAACCTAAGCATATCTCTTCTCCCCACTCTAAACATGCATGCTTGAGACTGACTCATACCGTTGCCTCAAGTGATGGAGGTGTGAAAAATTGATTATTTGGGAATGCTGAGAGCTTTTTGGATGGATAGGGCCATGAGTCATGACAATCCAAACTAGAGTTACTGTGAAAATATTTACTTGGAAAATTGGAACATGATTCCAAAGCAACTTTTGCTAAGTAAGATCAAATCTCTGGCTCCATGATCCTTAAGTCTTAAGGTTAAAAGAATATCTGAATGTTACTTATTATATGATTATAATGAGGCAAATCAATTTGATTCATATTGATTATTATACTAATGAAGCTTTGAGAACTGTGCATTGTATGGGTTGCATATAAGAAGGAAGACAATGTAGAAAGATAAAATTTAAAGTATTATGCCTTTAAAAAGTAAAGTGTTTTTAGGGTCATTGCATAAAATCATGAAACCTTACATTTTTCAAACATTGCTTATAGTTTAAAGAGTAAACAACTATGTTAATAATATTACTTGAAATTTTCATTTGTGATGTATTTTTAAGATATAGATACAAAATTGGGAAATGTATAGTTCACAATAGATATTCTGACAAAATTTTTCTCAGTTGAACACAGATTCTAATTGTTCCATGAAGCATCAACACTTTAGATTCTCTATGTACACATATATATGATAAAATGTTAAGATGTTATTAAATATACACTTAAAAGATTATTTTATTATTTTTTCTTTGTTAATATTTTAATCTTTATTCAATGCTTCACATACTCCAATTTATTTTCTTTTGTCCAGGTTGAAGATTGTAAAAATTTCCTTTAAGTGCAAACAGTTTTTTATTCAACTTAGAAAAGAATTGGTGAGTATTGATTTGATCATTATTGATTTAAATGAACTCTTTTAAGACTATCATTCATGACAGAACTTTTCTATTAGGCCAAGTCAAATTGCAGTTAATACTGCCTGCTGAGGTAATGAGTATACTTTTTATGGTAAAGTATATTTGTTTCTCCACCGCGTCTGTGGCTCTGATGTAAAGTTCTCCTAGACTTCCATTCGCTCTCTCTTGAACTTAGAAACTGATTTCTCACATATGATGATCATTGTAAATCTTCAGAGCCCATTCATGAGGGCAGTAGCTGAGCATATATATATATATTTTTTTTTTATTTTTTTATTTTTTTTTTTTTGAGACAGAGTCTCACTTTGTTGCCCAGGCTAGAGTGAGTGCCGTGGCGTCAGTCTAGCTCACAGCAACCTCAAACTCCTAGGCTCAAGCAATCCTGCTGCCTCAGCCTCCCAAGTAGCTGAGACTACAGGCACGTGCCACCGTGCCCGGCTAATTTTTTGTATATATATTAGTTGGCCAATTAATTTCTTTCTATTTATAGTAGAGACAGGGTCTCATTCTTGCTCATGCTGGTTTCGAACTCTTGACCTCGAGCAATTTGCCCGCCTTGGCCTCCCAGAGTGTTAGGATTACAGGCGTGAGCCACTGCATCTGGCCCGCCTATATATATATATATATTGTGTGTGTGTGTGTGCTAAATCTAAATCTTCATATATAAGCTCATTTCATTTTAGGGGAGCTGAGTGTTTAGTTTCTAGTTCATGAATTTTTAACACATTTCCTCCCTGTGTTAGAATAGTAGTGGCCTTTTTATATATTAAATACAACAAAATGAGTTGTCATGAAAAAGACAGTGTTGCAAACAGTTTCATGTTGTGAATGTTATCAATTTAATCAAATTAACCTTTTCCTTTGACTTATACTATTTCTTAGCAATCAGAAAAATCTTGGCAAAGTAATGTGGGTTTCAAGATCTTAAGTGTTTATGTGTATAAAATGTATTTGAAACTTTAACAGTGTATTTGAATCAGCTACATTGTATCAGGATATTGATTTACTAAGTGACTATGATTTGTCGTTTGTGTTCTCAAAATATGGAAGTTTTTTTTTCTTTCAAGACAATTTTTATTGAAAAAGTATACAGATTTTAAGTATAAAACCCAATAAAGGGAACATACCCATATCAGCACCTCCCAGATTAATATATAAAACATTACCAGCACCAGAGAAGCTGGTAATGTTGATGATGGAGCTCATGTCCACTTCCAGTTATTAACACTCCCAAAAGGTAAACACTACTCTCATTTATAATACCATGGGTTTATTTTTGAACTTTAAAAATGAAATTGTACAGTATGTTGTCTTTTCTGTCTTCTTTTTCTTAACATTTTTTGTGAAATTCATCCATGTTGTTGTACATTTTAGTTTGTTCTATTTAGGTATTATATTCACTGAATGAATATACCATAAATTATTATTCTGTTAGTGGACAGTTTCCATTTCCAGATTAGGAATATTATGACTAATACTGCTAATGAACATTCTTGTACATGTTTCAATAAATTTTCAGAGATTTAAAATATATCTTGTTATCTAGAAACTGGAGAACAAATATTTTACTTTAATTATACATGGCACTATAGAAGTCAACTTTTCTAATTTCCCTCCTATTATAGTACTAGTGTTAATAATAATAAGCTACAATGTCTAACATTTATTGAAAATTTACTGTGTGCCTGGTAATATACCAACCATTTTGATACCATTTAATCCTCACAGTCATCTTCTGAGGTAGTGTACCAGTTAAAAATGTGTTTAGTCCTAAGTAACAATAGCAAAAGAATTCAACTAACAGTTGATTAAAGGTAGTATACAGGGATCCTTTTGTGGTTCACAAGCATGATGGTTGAATTTTTATGCCATTGTGTGAGATGTGGCTCCCTCAAACCTTGTTATGACATTGGCACATGTTATAACCTGTCTGACATATGGGGTGGGAAGAAAAAAACAAAAAAAAGACAATATACAGACATACTCTGCAGAAGGTTGCCATGTTAATGTTTTCTCTTCTCAAATATCTCCTTGTTTTTAAATGTCCAGACTTCATAGCATGTATTTACCGTGTTTCTCCCAAAATAAGACAGGATCTTATATTATTTTTCATCAAGAAGACACCCTAGGGCTTATTTTCAGGGGATGTGTTACTTTTTTTAAGTACGGTACTACAATCTACATGTATTCAAATACAGTTAAGTTGTCTTCTTCTGGAACATCATCGTAACTCTCCAAACCCCGAATTCCATCCTGAATCTTGCGACTCTATTTCCCTTAAAACCATTGGCCTCAATTTCTCATATTGAGGAATAGAGCTCTCATGGGGAAGATAAGAAGGGCTGCTCGTCGTCTTTACCACTCCACAACGAAATGCATGGGTTGTGCAGATATGCTATGTAGCCACGCCCATCACAAGGTCTTATTTTTGGGGTGGGGCTTATATTGTGCAAATACTTAGAAATCCTGCTAAGGCTTATTTTATGAGTAGGTCTTATTTTCAGGGAAACACGGTATTTCTCGATACAACATTTTGTGTCCTTTGTTTACAAACTGGGAAAATTATTTTGTTACATTCCAAATATAGTTGGTAGAGTGTCAAAATCACATACAGACTTATTGAAAAGTATACCAAGTGTCAAAAAAGGAGAAATATATATGCATCTTAGATGTTGCTGACACTGAGAAGCATTACTGCATTATACTGACTATGAGACATTTTTGCCATTTTGGGTAATGTATTTGGTAGTAGAAACAAAAAATCATAATTAAGAATTTCTTGTAAACAAGGAATGATGTTTTAAGCATATTAATTTCTAACATGATAGCTTATTACTTATACATGGGCATTTTACTGTGGTTTAGTCATGGAAAATATCTTTATAACCTTTTTTATTATTCCATTATTTATTGATATTATTTAGTCCAGAACACTAGTTCTAAGAAAGCATTAGCATTCATTCATCTACAGGATGCAACAGGCTGACTGGTATTTTAAAAAGTACCCCAAACTGAGTCCCTTCGAACCTTTTGATGAGCAAAGTTTTCTTTAACAAGACATAGAAGAAAACCTTAACTTAAAAGATTAATTATTTGGACTACATTAAAATTGATGTGTCTTCGTCAAAAGTAATCATTATCATTAAGAGAGAAAAATAGCACAGAACATGTATATAATATACACACATACAAGTCCTTGGTTATATATGCGACCCAATAGAAAAATATGCTGGTGACTTCAATAGACACTTTACAAATGAGGGTGTCTACATGGCCATTAACATGAAAAGATTAATGATAACATGAACCTCATTAGTTAATGATAATATGAACCCCATTAGCTATCAAGGAGATTCAAATTATAACCTAAATGTGCGACTTATACATAACCACCAGAACAGCTAAGTGAATAAAACTGATGATCCAGTAGTTGGTGAGTTGGTGGAACATACACTGCTAGTGGGAAGGGGTGTATGTTGATCTAACCATTTTGGAAAACTGTTGGGCATTATCAAGCTGAGCCTGTGCACACACATCTTGTGACCCAACAACAGAAATGTGCATATATGTGTACCAGACAACATACAGGAATAGGCCTAGCAGCATTATTCTTACATCCTCAAACTAGAAACATCAAATGTCTATCAATAGCAAAATTGATAAACTGTGGTATATTCATTATAATAGAATACTATGAAAATGAGTGAATTACTGTTTCACAATTATATGGTTGTATATCAGAAACATAATGTTGAACAAAAGAAGCTAGAACTAAAGACAAGCATGACTATTCTATGGGTAGTAATGTCAGAAGAGTGATTACCTTTTGGGATAGTAATCTGGAAAAAAGAGGAGACAAAGGATACTCCTGAAGTGTTAGTAATGATCCATTTCTTGATCTGGGTAGAAGTTAAATGGTTGCATTCATTATGTGAAAACCAGAGCTGTACACTTATGGGATGTGTGCTTTGCAATGATGTGTAATGGTTTACTTTAATGAAATTATTTAGTAATTTATGCTGAACTTTCAAGAAAATTAAAGAATTATATTCTTATGCTGATTATTGAAAAATTTGAATTCTGTGATAGTGTTCAGAGCTGCTAAATATTCTTATTTCCTTAATTACAGTGTGGACAGATTTATAAAATTAGGATCATTATTAAAAGTTGTGATGGTATATTTTAATGTTTAATTTATGGCCTAGAATTATATTTTGAAGCAGAATCACAGCAATAAATATTGAAAACAGATATGTAGGAAATTTTTTAACATATTTCTAACCGTGATCTAAGCTAAAAGTTTCTCAGAGTTATAATAGTACTGAATGAGTCCACATTTTACAAGCCTTTTCATTTACTTTATTGCCTTTTTATTGAATAAGCAAAAAAGATCCTAGAAGGATTAGTGTTTTCGAGGTTAGAATAATTTATCTGTCAAAAGTAAATTAAATGTCAAACCAGTAAAGATTGTACTATTGTTTTAAAAAAGGTAAAACTGTTGTTTTTAAAAAGGTAAATTAAGTGGAGTATTAGATCCTGACGTCTTCCTGGTATTCTCTGCATTTTGTCATTTATTACAGCATGAATCTAGAGAAACATTATTGGGATTTAATATGGTGAATTACAGAGCATGTAAAAATTTGTGGAAAGCATGTGTAGAACATCACACATTCTTCCGTTTGGACAGACCACTTCCACCTCAAAAGAATTTTTTTGCACATTATTTTACATTAGGTTCAAAATTCCGGTACTGGTAAGTATTACTTCTGTATTAAGGCTTTATTTTTGGATTTTTTTTTTTCCTTCTTTTAAAATAAAGGTGTCGTTTATGGAACCATAGAATCTTTGTTATTCATACTTACCTACTAAGTCAAAATCTCTATAGAGTACAGCCTCTATATATTTATCAGTAAAAAGTTCTATAGGCTCTTGTGATATACACCAGGCTTGAGAAACTCATTCCATTGACTATATTCCAGGTCATTATTTTCTAAGCTAAATTAGCCACGTTTATTTACAATCTAGACAGATGTTATAATTTCCAGTGTTTCTTTGTTAAATATTTACATGAAAACTTTTCCTTGTTCTAAGCCACATTTATTTTATTTGTAAAAACCAAGATATCTTCTCTATGAATAAACAGTTACTTTTGTTTTTTAATCTAGAATTTAGCGTATTTTTGAGTTATCAAACACTTTATTATAAAGAGTCAAAACAACCACTAGGCAAAATCAGATTGTCAATGAACAATAACCCCAGGTTCCTTTTCCTTAAATTGTCTTGTTCTTGATAGCTTTTATTTTTTCCTGAAGGCAACAATCTTTGGGGGATAAATAAATTTGAAGAAGCTCTGATTAGTTTTACCTATGGAATTCTTAAAAGACCCATGAAAGCTAGTTTCTAAGTGGAACCTGGTAAGAATCATATAGAAAAGTTATTTGTGATCTTTTAGTAAAACAAATGTTATTCATTTTTGTTTGTTTCTGCTTCACAAAATAAGATTTTTCCATCTTCAATAAATAAAACCTTTAGCCATTATGTGTTAGATTAATTCATGTTATAAGTTCATGAGAAAAATGTTTAGCTATGGCCCAAAAGAGATTTATATTGTAAATCTAAACATTTATAAATGTTCTTTGTAATCTCTGTAAAAATAACAGTGTAAGATTAGTACAGGATATATTATTAAAAATGCATGACTCCCAAACCCAGAAACAATTAGTAAAAGTAGCCCAGAAGTTCAGTAACAACAATTAAATAGAATTAGGAAATTTTTAACCAAAAAAACACAGCAGACTCCTAAGTAGTTTGATGTCATATTTAACTCCTTTTTCACTTTCCTAAATGCAATATTGAGAAAAGTAAGGTGACAATACTTGCAAATTTTGAGGTAAATAAACTGAGAGAGAGAGTACCAGATCAATGATGAAAGCCAAAAAAAAAAAGCAAAGAACCTTACCTACTGGTACTGAATCTCAACACAGACAGAAGAAATCTCCAAGGCTTTATGTGAAATGAGAACAGTACAAAACCTAAGAGTATTCCCTTAGTGAATTTAATTCCTAAGTGACCATTGAGGTAATTATGTAAGGACTACCCTTACCCTCTAGTAGGACTCTTCTTTCTCCCCTCTGTCCCCACACCATTTTACTTAGTTACAACAAAATTATTAGAATGCAGTTACCGGCCTTCAACTATGATTCAAACAAGTCTCAAGATGAAGAAAATCAAAGGTTACCCAAACTATATTTTTTAAAGTTGACTAAAATATTTAAACAACTTTATTGAAATACAATTGACATAATTAACTACCATATTCAAAGTTTAAAATTTGATATATATGCATACAAATACTATATATAATCTCCATCTCTCTCTTCATATATATATATATGTGTGTGTGTACACACACACACATATACACACACACACATATATATATATATATGAAGAGAGAGAGATGGAGATTATATATAGTATTTGTGTGTGTGTATATATATATATATATCCATGAATCCATCTCCACAATCAAGATAATAAGCATATCCATTATGCCCCAAAGCTCCTTCTGTAACCCCTTTCTCCCACCCGTCGTTCTTAGGCAACTACTTTCTGTCTCTACAGATTGGTCTCTACAGATTGGCAACTGCTTTCTGTCTCTACAGATTGGTTTGCATTTTCTAAGATTTACATATATTTAAACATATGTGAAGCATTCTTTTTAGACTATCCACTTTTACGCATAATAATTACTTCAGGATTCACCCATGTTGTTGCCTATATTGATAGTTTGTTTCTTTTTATTGAGGAGTATTATACCATTGTAAAGACCTACTGTAATTTGTTTATCCATTCACTGGATGATATCAAGTGGGTTATTTCACTACTTGGATTGTTTCTAGGTTCAGGGTATTACAAATAAAGCTGCTATGAACATGTGTATGGAAGTCTTTGTATGGATGTGTGCTTTAGTTTTTCTTGGGTAAACACCTAGGAGTAGAATGGCCAGATCATATGATAGAAATTGCTAAACATTTTTTCAAAGCAACTCTACCATTTATGTACTCATCAGCAGTGTATAAGAGTTCCACCTCCACTACATCCTCATCAGTGCTTGATATTATCTTTTCATTATTTGCCAGTGTCATCTGAAAAGTGCAAGTTTTGAATTTTGATGAAGCTCAATTTTCCCATTCTATAAGGATCTTTCTTTTGTTGTCATATCCAAGAAATCTTTGCCTAACCCAAGGTCCGAAAGATTTATTCCTGTTTTCTTCTAAGAGTTTTATAGTTTCAGCTCTTACATTTAGGTCCATGGTCCATCATTTCTTTGCATATGTATATCCAGTTGTTCCTCTGTACCTTTGTTGAAAAGAAGAAAGTTCAGTAGTGTTAGTCCTCCAGCTTTGTTCTTCTTTTTCAGAGTTGTTTTGGATATTGTAGGTCTTTTGAATTTCCATACAAATTTTAAAATTAGCTTATTAGCCAGGCACAGTGGTATGCGCCTGTAGTCCTGGCTACTTGGGAGGCTGAGGCAGGAGGATTCCTTGAGCCCAGAAGTTGGAAGCCGCAGTGTGCCACAGTTGTGCCTGTGAATAATCACTGTACTCTAGCCTGAACAACATAGTAAGACTCCCATCTCTTACAAAAAGAAGAACAATTAGCTTATTAATTCTTGCAAACAAGCCTTCTAGGATTCCAATTGGGATTGTGTTGAATCTATACACCAATTTTGGAAAATTGACATCTCAAAAATATTTACTCTTCCACTTGTGAAACATGGTCTATCTTTTTCTTTACTTAAGTCTTTTATTTTTCTGAGCACTGTTTATAGTTTTTGATGTATAGGTCTTTTACATTGAATTTATCTTTAAGTATTTTATATTTTTATTGTATTATAGATGGTCATATTATTCATTGTCATTCAATAGAAATGCAATTAGTTTTTAAAATATTGCTCTGATCTTGTTTCCTGTATCCTTCTTAAACCTGCTTATTCTAGGATCTTTGTTTTGACAGCTTTCAACAGATTTTCTACCTAGATGATAAAGACAGTTGTAGTTCTTCCTTTCTAATCTGATGCTTTTTATTTCTTTTTCTTTCCTTAGTACTCCAGATACAACCTCCAGTACAGCATTGAATAGTATTGAATGCAAGTGGTAGGAGAAGACAACCCTGTCTTGTTCCTCATATTAGGGGAAAACATGAAGTCTTTTACTACTAAGTATGATGTTGGTTGTAGGCTTTTTATAGATGCCCTATTTCTTGCATGTTGAGGAAGTTCCTTTTATTTCTCATTTGCTGGAAGTTTTTATGTATTGGTATCTCTAATTTGAAAATTCAAAATCCAAAATGCTTCAGTTACCATTTCCTTTGAGCATCATGTAAACACTCAAAAAGTTTCAGATTTTGGATTTTTGGATTAGGCATACTTAACTTGTATTAGGATTGGATATTGGTTTTTGTCCAGTGCTTTCCCTGCAACTATTGAGATGACAATACAGTTTTTCTTTTTAGTTTATTTATATGATAAATTATATTAAGTTTCAAATGTTAAGCCAACTCTATATTTCTGGGATAAATCCCACTTGGCCATGATATCCTTTTTATATATTGTTTGATTAAATTTGCTACAATTTTGCTTAGAATTTTTGCATTTGTGCTCATAAAGGATACTGCTCTATGGTTTTCTTTTTCTTCCGATATCATTGTTAGGCTTTGGTTTCAGGGTAAGATTAGCTTCATTGAATGAGTTGAGAAATTTCAATTCTTTGGGAAAGTTTACAATAGTATTGGTATCATTTCCTTTTTAAATATTTGATAAAATTTACCAATTAATCTGTCTGGGGCAGGAGTTTTATTTATAGGAAGATTTTGAACAACACATTGAAATTCTTTACTAGATAAGGCAATTTAGGTTTTTCTTTCTTTCTGAGCAAGCTTTGGTAGTTTGTGTCTTTCCATAAGCTTTATCTATTTCATCTAGGTTGTTGAATTTATTGGCATAGCATTTATAATATTCTTCATTATCTTTTTTTATTTTTGGCATATTATGGGGGTACAAATTTTAAGGTTTCAATAAATGCCCTTTCCTCCCCTCCCCCCACAAGTCCGAGTTTCCAGCATGACCATCCCCCAGGTGGTGCACTCATTATTATCATTTTTTTTTAAAGCTGTCACCTGGGCTAGAGTGCAGTGACATCATCATAGCTCGCTACCACCTCAAACTCCTGGGTTCAAGCAATCCTTCTGCCTCAGCCTCCTGAGTAGTTGAGACTACAGGTGTGCACCACTACACCCAGCTAATTTTTCTGTTTTTTGGAGAGACAAGGTCTTGCTCTTGTTCAGGCTGGTCTCAAACTCCAAGCCTCAAGCAATCCTCCCACCTCAGTTTCCCAAAGTACTGGGATTACAGGCATGAGCCACTGCACCCAACCCAAAAAACATTTATTTAAAATAAAATAAAGTAAAATTAAAACCAGAAGATAGATCAGAATAACTCAAGAAGAATTCTGATAAAAGCACTAAGAATGAAGATTAAATCTTTTAAATATAGATATAGTCCTTGACAACTATAAGAACTATGGCTATAGAATTAAAATGACATAAACTTTGACAAAATGGAATAAATAGTACTATATTAATATCACATATGTTATAATAAAACATTTTAAACATAAAATGTTTAAAAAGAGGAAGCACGGGATTAGTAGGAGAAAGTATTTGAATCACTATTAACAAAATATGAAACATGTCGTGTTAAATATTAATACACCAACTTCTTAAGGTTTTCCTAGTCAAAAACACCAAAATCATCCATGATCTAAAAACAAAGGTTTTCCTTTTTTTTTTTTTTTAATGAATAGCAGTCTTTTTCTTTTAGTTCAAGGGAAATCAGTTTAATATTTTTTTTCATTAAAAGTGGCATATAGGCCAGGCACGGTGGCTCACGCCTGTAATCCTAGCACTCTGGGAGGCCGAGGAGGGCGGATTGTTCGAGGTCAGGAGTTTGAAACCAGCCTGAGCAAGAGCAAGACCCCGTCTCTACTATAAATAGAAAGAAATTAATTGGCCAGCTAATATATATAGAAAAAATTAGCCGGGCATGGTGGTGCATGCCTGTAGTCCCAGCTACTCGGGAGGCTGAGGCAGCAGGATTGCTTGAGCCCAGGAGTTTGAGTTTGCTGTGAGCTAGACTGATGCCACAGCACTCACTCTAGCCTGGGCAACAAAGCAAGACTCTGTCTCAAAAAAAGGTGGGGGGGCATATATCCCATAATCACATTGCAATAAAATTATGTCTATTATTTCCAGCCTTTTCTATGTGTATGTACATGGAGTTTCAGGATTATTTTCACCTGCTTATTGTGGTGATAAATATATTACGGGTAGGACTATGGCTAAAAAAAATTTTTGTTTTTTTTGTTCTTTTCGTTATGCTTTTTTATATTTCTTGAATTATATGTTTCTTTTGTTTGTTTGTTTTTTTAACAATTGGCACTTATTGCTCAAAAGATAAGTAAGTATCTCACTGTTAGAATTGGGTGTCCTGAGACTGGTACAATTTTGCATTTTGTTCTAATAACAATACTTAACCCCTAAAGACTATATTATGGACAATATGAAATATAAACCTTTCTGCCATTTTTTAAATTGCTCTCTCTTGCTTATGAAATTTGACTTGTTAGTTTAGCCTTTTTAGTAATAGAGTCCCATTTGAATCTTCTTCACTAGGAAATTAATGTATCACTCAGAGTTCAGTCAAGGAAACAGAAAACTCCTTGGATATTTTGAACCGAAACTGTTTAATTGAGAGAATGGGTTACCCAGGTGTTGGAAAGGCTGGTAAAGCAAAAGGGGGAAAAAAGGTTATGGAGAAACAAACAGGAAGAAAGGATAATGTCTAGCAATCAGAGACTTGGTTCACTTCTGGACTGGAGTCCACAAACTTAGACCTGTTACTATACTATTAGAGCCACTGTCATAGTCAGTTCTGTATCTGCCAGAGAAATGGTACTTTAATCAGGGATGGAACTATCTACAAGATGTTTCTCAGAGTGCCCTATACCCATGACTGTTAAAGCAGCTACCAGCATCTGCCAGTTTCCTGCTCTGCCTTTCTCCACTTTGTGATCTTCCACCAGTGCCTTTTAAATGCAGAACCTAACAGAAAGCTAAGTGGCAAAGGAAACTAAAAAATGGAGTTTGTCAACTTGCACCCCCTGCAAAACATAGCAGAATACAGGAGAGGATTGGGGCCTTTGACAGCTCAGTTCACATTAAATTATATATATGTAACAGTATATATATTTATAATTTTAAAAGTTAAGTGTTGTGTTTGTAGTCCTTAAGTTTAAAAACATATCCAAAGCATTTTTTAATCATCAAAACGATTTATACTCTTGAGGTAAGAACGGAAGCATGACAAATGTTTAGTTGGACACAGTCCTGTTCCTAATGAATATGCACTGCTTATTATGAAGGGAAAAAGTAAACTTTTTTTTTAAGTTTTTTAAAACTTTTTTTAAAAATTTATTTTTTCCCCCTCATAATCAGTGGTTGGGAATATTGGAACTGTTGTCATACTTGAAATGTTGAAATGTTATTTTGCCTGATAGATGGAACGAGGAATACCAGAGAAATATATTACTTTCTCCACAAACCTACTCATATACACGCCCTTATCTCTGTTCCAAAATATCTAGGATATTAAAATTATTATTCTAATGTAGGAATACAAAACAGTAGTGAACCTTAATTTGTTACCTCCTTCTTAGAGGAAACATATTTTCTTAGGAAACTTCAACTTAACCATTTAAAAAGTCATGGTAATATTTTCCATTTTTCCATTAAAACCTCACAAGTATGTCATTTCAGTACACATTTATTGATACTTATCGATGGAAGATGGTCTTAAAATTGCTTAACTATGGAAACCTATATTTGGCTATTTTTATATACATTGGATATCTACATTTGTAAATGGTTATATTTGATATACCAGAATTTTGTGTTCATTCAACACTTAAGGATGCGTGTGGTGGCTCACATCTGTAATCCTAGCACTCTCGGTGGCTGAGACAGGAGGATCGCCTGAGGGCAAGAGTTTGAAACCAGCCTAACCAAGAGTGAGACCCCAGCTCTACTAAAATAGAAAAAATTAGCTGACCTACTAAAAATAGAAACAAAAAACCTGTAATCCCAGCTACTTGGGAGGCTGAGGCAGGAGGATTACTTGAGCCTGGGAATTTGAGGTTGCTGTGAGCTAGCCTGATGCCAAGGCACTCTAGACCGGGCAACAGAGTGAGACTGTGTCTCCAAAAACAACAAACAAACAAACAAAAAACACTTAAGTAATGGGATGCTTCAAGTAAAACATTTTCTGAGAATCAGGCTTTTATTACTATTAACAAAGTTAATCTGAACACATTGGTGTAGTACAGGGGAGGATCCATTCCTTGCATAAACAGTGTGCTTGCTAGACAAATCACCTTCAAGACAAACCCCTAGTGCCCAACCCCCACCACATGTCCACCTTAGTTCTTTTTCTATATACAAAAATCTAGAGTTTTTCTGTGTCAGGACATGGAAGGAGTTGAGGTATAATTCACAGATATGAAGATCATGGTCTTCATATCTGTGATCATTAGCAGTAGGCAAGGAACAAAAGGTCAAAGAAAGAGCAGTTCTCCAAGAACTCCCATGTCTCAGCCTCTTCATTAAGGAGTAGTGGAGGCACTAACTAAATCCCAGACCTATAGGAGGAGTTTGGAGTTGACAGGGCTTGTTTGAGCTGGGCCATGACAACCTATTTCTTCTAGAGAGAGTACCTTTCCATGACATAACAGAGAAGGAATTCCTCTCATGCGAAATTACTTCTCTCATATTCATTCTTACATCAAGAAGTCTGGGAAAATGTAGTGTCTGTGGAACACATCTTTGTTCATTAATAGAAGACTGTAATTAAGGTCTCTTCATCCAGGTAGAACTGGAATGTAATCCACTCTTCTTACTCTCTGTTTCCTTTTCTCTGCTAGAAATGTCTTGTCTCTTACGAAATTGAAATATAACCATGTTATATGTTGTCATTTTATCTTGTAGTTCTCTTTAAGATTTTATTGTTGTGCATATTTATGTATTTCAGTGGGAGAACAGAAGTCCAGTCAGTTCAGTATGGCAAAGAAAAGGCTAATAAAGACAGAGTATTTGCAAGGTAAGCCAATTTGTTTCATTGTCTGAATAAAGAATAAAGATTATTAAAAACTCTTTCTAATTATAATTACAGAATTAGCACATGATCCTTTAAATAAATTATGTTGAGGGAATGATAAAGTAGTTTGTCTAGTTTATTGATTCATTTTTTATATGAGCATTAATCATGTGCCAAGCATAATGTTAATAGCTCTGAATAGGCTGAATCAAGTGTTGTTAATATATTTTGTTGGAAGGTTGCTCTTTTTTAAAAAGTTTTGAGAAGTATAGTGACTTATTTCATATGTTATCAAGTCCATTTCCATATTCATTTAAAACATATTGTTAAGAGTTAAGGTGCTTTATATTTGCTTACCATTCATTGTCATTAGTTTTTTAGGGTCTGTTATAGCCAGTTTGCTTTTTACCAAGTTAAAATTTATGTTTTACAAAATCATTTTATGAGCGAGGATAGAGAATGGGTTAGTAAATAAAAACTGTATACCCAGAGACCACTTAAAAGGTAATTGCAGTAATCCAAGTGAAAATAATAAAGTCATGAACTAGAACATTGATGATGGAATGGAGAATAGGGAACAAATTTGAGGAACATTTTGTAGGTAGAACTAGCAGAAGTTGATGGACTGTGAGAGACAGGAGTTTGTTTTCAGTGAAAATTACTTAGAGAGGATAAGTCTTTAAAGAGTTAAGTGCTTGGCATCTATTGCTTTTGGAGGCTTGAGTTTTAATAAAGAGAACTAGAGAATTTTGCTTTTGATTTTACTTTGTTTAAATTTTGCTCTTAATCTTTTTTCTAAAAGACCTTCTAGCTTTGTGTTTCTGGAGTAAAAGAAGATTTGTGGTTTTGGTTTTATCTTCTTCCCATCAAAAATGGAAATTACAAGAAAAATTTTCATCTCATGATAACTAAAAATATTTTTGGTATTTACTATTCAAGATTTTTCCGTGCATATACTTACAGATATATGTATGTGTATATTTATTTCAAAATTATTTCATACTTTGTTGTTTGCTTTTATCACTTAACATATACATTTTCTGATGTTGAAAAATGTAACTTATAATGGCAATAAGTCTTTCAGCAGTAAAATCCTTTTATTGTAAACTGTAGATTAAACTTCAAGATTTCTCCCTTTACTGTGCCACATCCCTGCCTCCAGAGTAGGAGTCATTGCTAAGACTGTATGAGACTATCACAGTAATACATCCTGAACGCTTATAAAAATAAATAATAATTAATATAATGAGCTTTTTGGAGTAAGGACATTTGGAACAAAAAGTTATTGAAACATATTTTTTGTGGATTTGAATAATACAATTTACTTGCATTTTTTTTCTTCATTGTGGGGTTGGTTACCTTCATCCTAATTTGGACCCAGCAGGAAAACAGTTGATGAAAATGCCTTGATGTGGGAAAGATTCAGCTTGTCAGGACTACAGCATTGTACTGTGATGAGTTTGCTTAAATTCGGATGATGTGATTCATTTCGGCATTTGTTCAAAAATGTTTGAAATCAATTTATTCTTGTTTTTAGATTTGTGAAGGAAATATTATTGGGTTTTTTTTCTCTATTAAATATAAATCTTGGTGCCATATTAGTGGCTTGGTTATTTAGGTAAGGAAAAAAGGCAAGAACACAGAGATGTCTACCCTTATATGTATGGCTATGAAATTATTCAAAATCCTCTCTTTTACAATCTCCATTTTTTTTTCCAGTTAAAATATACTAAAGACCTGTATAAAGATAGAGTCTATAGCAAAATGTTAGTATTAAATTATTTTCTTTGCAATTGCTCTTGAGAAAGAAATAATTTACTTCCTATAAATGTCATTGTTTTAATGTATTTGTTCTGGTGCTTAGTGCTCTTATTTCTAACACTCATTTTCATACTTGATAAAATCAAAATATTTTTCTGAGCCTTAGTATTAATAACAGTACCATAACAATATACTTATACCTTTTTTTATTCCTTTCCTAACAATAAGCTTAATTTTTTTCCTTGCTTGATAGCCATAAAAAATGTAGAACATGTGATTTAATTACTAGTTGTATGTAATATGATGTCCTATTATGAGTACCATAATCATAGGGGTGTTTTTATATTAAGGTTAAAATCACATACAAATGACTTCTTTATAAGTGTTTTAATAGTACTAGACTGTTTTATTGATCTCTCTTTCTCCAAAAGACTAAGCTTTTTTGGGATAGTTTATCTAATATATCAGAATCTTACTGTAATGACCTGATACATGCCTACCAAAATTCTCTAATGATTTTAGCCATTATTAGATTATTTTGTTGAAGTACTAGAGAATTCTGGAGTTACTATCTTTCTTAGAATTTTATTTGGCAGTATTAAATTAGATAGAAAAGATTTTTTCTTAAACTTCTCATATAAGATGGGTTTTAGCAATAATTCAATAAGTTATTTTTTTCTTTTTCTGATGTATCAACTCTAAATTGGTTTCACACTTTTTCAGTTGTCATATAATAATATCTAAGAGAGAAAAACAATGTTCTCATACAACAGAAAAATAAGGTGCCATGGTCAGAAAATAAATTTACCACATTGCAAACACAGTGATGCAGTGTGGTATTTTTTTCTCTGAAATTTCCACACTCAACAGGAAACATAGACAGCAAACTTAAGTGGGTGGGTCTCTGAGGTTAAAACTGTTAATGAAATAAAATACCTGAAATTTAGTTTTAAATTCAAAGCGTTTTCAACCATGTTTAATCCATTAACGGCAGTAAAGTGTTCTGATGATGCTTTAGATCAGGTAAGTGTGCTGGGAATTTTCTTCCTTCAAATGGCTTTTCCCTTTTTTAGAAAGTGAAAGTAGTTGATCTCCTGACTATTGGTAGTGAACTATCATACAGCTTACATTTAGTAGTATAATATATGAAGAAAGATTAGTTTATTATCATTAAGAATTACCATTAACAGAAGATCTATAATGGTATATGTTAATAACCTTTATTTTATTTTATTTATTTTTTGGATCAGGGTAACCAATGAAAGAGTGTGAATAACCTTTATTTTAAATCATGAGATATAGTATACTTTATTTTCATTTTGTTGTGACTGACATGAAAATTTACACTGCAACATTAAGGGATTGAAATTTCTTTTAGAAAATACCTATTGGTTTTTAAATTAAGGAGATGTTATTAGGCCAAACTAAAAAGGTTTTGGCTATCAATTCCTAAAATGATAGGACACTTATATATTTTGGATTCATAAGTAACTTACAATTTTTCATGGTTTAGTAAAATTAATAGGTAAAACAGTGCACTGAAAATTTAGATACTCATAAATTATAAAATTCAGGACCTAGGGAGAGCCCTAAGGATTATATTGTACTAGTAAATTTATATATTTAGGTATAGAGATTTGTCTAATGGGAAGCCAGAACTAGGATTCAGGGTTCCTATTCATTATTCCTACGCTTCCTACTACATATATAACAGTTTTTCAAGTACTCCTTGGTCGATGTTACCATACTTTTTGGTCAAGTCTGAACTCTTTCTTTTTACATGTTCAACATATTGGACAGGAAATTGTAAGCTGATAGTGCAACTGCAAACTTAATGACATTAGAATTTTGGTACATAATGATCTCATTAAGTTTGAAGGTAATTGGATGACAGTATTACATTTGCTTTATGCCTTGCTTGATAATTGTTCTTTTTATCCAACAATAGTGCATGCATAGTAGTACGTAGTGAGAAGAAAAAATAATGGCTAATTTTAAGGGAAAAAATCCCAATAAGCTAAAAAAGTAAATAAATACAGTACTACATGTAATTCGTTATTATTATTATTGGAAAATCTGAAAGTAAATCCAAATTCACATAATGAAGACCTATGAATCCTATGAACTATAACCAAAAATAGTCTTGATTTTTTATTTTACACAAATAGAGGCTTCTTCTTAAATTTTTATGATCTAGTTTATGTAGTAGGATAACAGAATCTGATTTTTTTTAATTATGCTATAATGGAAAATAACATAATTTTTGTGTGCTTCAGTGAATTTATTACTGAAATATAAAACTATTTACAAGCTTAATTCATTCATTAGCCTCCATATTGGCTCTATGTTTCAAAAAGCTAGACATTTAAATTGATGACATGTATTTTCAATTAATTTCAGCCAGTATCTGAATTTGCATGTAAAAAGATATTAGTTGTTAATGTTAAATGCCTGAGGTGATGAATACTCCATTTACCCTGATTTGATTGATTCACATTGTATGCCTGTATCAGAACATCACATGTGTCCTATAAAGACATACAACTATTGACCGGGCATGGTGGCTCACACTTGTAATCCTAGCACTCTGGGAGGCTGAGGAGGGCGCATTACTCAAGGTCAGGAGTTCGAAACCAGCCTGAGCAAGAGCAAGACCCTGTTTCTACTGAAAATAGAAATTAATTGGCCAGCTAAATATATATACATACATATACATATGTATATGTATGTATATATAATTAGCCCCCGGCATGGTGGCATGTGCCTGTGGTTCCAGCTACTTGGGAGGCTGAGGCCGTAGGACAACTTGAGCCCAGGAGTTTGAGGTTGCTGTGAGCTAGGCTGACGTCATGGTACTCTATCCCAGGCAACAGAGTGAGACTCTGACTCAAAAATATATATATATATATATATACACACAACTATTAAATATCCATAATAATTAAAAATAAAAAAAATAATAAAACTACTTAAGGAAAGGGGGAAAAGGATGTTAACATTCCTAAAATTCTAAGGTCTTATGGTCTCTGCATAAGTCAATGTCTTTTGATCTAAATAAATCAATATCAAGATCTTTTTCTTAAAAGATCACTTAGTTCTTGTCTTTATCACTGTGATAACTGACAATAGTTAGATAACCGACTATAGTTAGGTAATAAAACATATCCTCCTACTTCTCACCACAAGACAGAGTAATTAACCTTCCAAAATGCTTTTGTAAAAAGAAAAGGATAAAAGAAAAACACTACTGGTCCACTATACATTTAAAAAATTACACATAAAATGTAACATGCCTAATTATATTTTTGTTCTGTCCTCATTGAGGCAAAGGATCAGAACTTAGATTTAAAGGTCTTCAGGAGATAATGTACTAGGTATTATTTAATACATCCCAAGATAAGCTAGAGTTCCAGCTACTCTGGAATAGAAATAGGTAATATCTATAATATTGTTAACATCTGAGAAACATTTGCAAACTACTCCTTGTTGTTTTCCTTTTTCTTTTCCTTTTTTTTTCTTTCTCTCTTCTTTCCTATTATCCATTCTACTCTTCCTAGCCTATCTTTTCTTCCTTCTTCATATAAAGCAAATGTACTTTCTTAGGAAATTATTTGGTAAAAGAGCTTCTAAATACATTAATTCTTACAAGTAAACTTTTTATATTGACTCATAGAATATGATCTATTAAAATAAACTTTAGATTTGATTCGTAGTTCAGAGTATAAAAATAAAACTTTTTACATATTAATTAAACTATTTCTGCAGATCCCCAAGTAAGCCCTTGGCACGGAAATTAATGGATTGGGAAGTAGTCAGCAGAAATTCAGTATCTGATGACAGGTTGGAAACACAAAGCCTTCCATCACGGTCTCCACCTGGAACTCCTAATCAGTAAGTACAGCCCAACATTAGGTGTGAATTTTGCTAATTTTTATTGGCTGTATATATCCATTGTCTGAAGATCAAAATATGTAAAGATTTAAGCCTTTTGGTCAAATATGATTTTTGTTGCTACAGAGCATTATTTTTTCTTCACTTGCTGCTCATTACAGAAGTGGCATGGAAGGCTTTGGGGAATTAGGGAGTAGGGCATTGAATGAGGACCTTCACTTTCCTCAACAGTTGACTTTCACAGTTAGGGTCCCTAGCCAATAAATGAAGATCTATTAGTAGACTTAAAATCTTATATATGGGTGCTGTTGAATAATCGTTTTCTCTGTGGATTCCCAACAGAATTTCTAGGGGAGCATATATTGTTTGAAAATGCTTTCCAAGTGATTGTGATTCTCTTATATAAACTCCCACCTTAACCACAGCTCTAGCACTTTCTGTGGCCTAGAAAAGGCAATTTCCAACACCAGTTACCATAAGCTTAGCTATTGCTGTGCTATGAAACACTTATACTGTTATGTACTTCAGTCTAGCATTTCTCAAAAAAGGTGTATGTTTTCGTGTAAATAATAACAAGATAATAAACTTATACCAGCCAGAGATGTTGATTATCTTAATTTTATAATAACAAATATGTTGTATATGATACTGAGTATGTATATAATTAAGAGAATGGTAAACAATTGTGTGTCAACATATTAATATATTTTGGTAACCCAAAAGGTTCATATATAAAGTACTTGAATTTTGGTATGGAATAGAGGCTTTCCTTTAGAAATATTTTATGCATGTTAATGTTTAATAAAAATGGACTAAATTCTAAAAGCTATGGCATTGATGGATGTTGTCAGCTGAAGAATAAATTTCTATCATATTGGAACTAAAATATTTACATAAGCAGTTTGGTTGGCAGAACACTATATTTAGATGTTAAATTACTGCTAGAAAAAGTGAACTGAATAATTTCTATCTTGCTAATTGCAGATTACTAAATCATTTTTCCTTACAAAAGAGTACATAAATTCAAAGGCTCATCAGCTTGTGTGAAGAAAATTCAGACCTTTTTTGCTCCTTTTTCCAGCTAGCCATTTATCCATACCAACATCATTAAACAATTATAGCAGGTTATAGAAGATACAAGAAATTTAAACCAGATGATTCAAGTAATTAATAGCAGTAGCTCTGATTAAGTTTTCTGGTTAATGAAACCATTGTAGGTATCATCTAAAAAAGATTTGTTTTAATTCTAAAGAGTCAGTACAGGGTTGTGGTTAAGAGGATGGCACCTGGAGTCACTGTACATTTGAACTTTGGGCAAGTTAATTAATCTCTGTCTCTTTTTCCTCATCTATAAGACTATATAATAACATGATCTTTCTTTAAGTATTGTTATAAGGATTAAATGAAATGCTTAGAACAATGCCTGGCACATAAATGCTCAAATATTAGCTATTGTAATTAATAATTATAATGACAATAATAATGTATGTGACTGTCATTTATGAGGATGACTGTCATTTATGAGGATGGAAATAATGCTATTTAGTGTCTACTCTTACGAATTAAAATCCCATAAATAAAAATATTTATAAGAATTAAAGAATTCAGACTAAAAGATAAAACTAAATCATGTGTTTTAATCTCTTCATTTTATAAATGCTAAGAAAACCTAGAAACATGGGTATTTAGAGATAGGTAATTAGATAATTTAGAGATAGGTAATTGAATAGATAAATAGGTAATTTAGAGATAGGTAATTGAATAGATAAAATCCTTGTGACAGATTGTTGTCTGCAGGTTAGATAGCTGACTTCCCATTCTGTGTTCTTTCTGTTAATATCACACTGTCTTTGTCAGAGACTCTGCTTAGTCAACAGGGTTGACTTAAAAACACACACCCACTTTCTGATGGGACCATATAAGTAAGAAACTTGGAAAAAATGAATTAAAGCATAAGTTCATTCAGTTTTTCTTCCTCTTTATTTAGCCGAAATTCTGCATTCACGCAAGAGGGAACACGGCTACGGCCATCTTCGGTTGGTCATTTGGTAGATCATGTGGTTCATACTTCCCCTAGAGAAGTATTTGTGAATCAGAGATCTCCATCATCAACACAAGCTAATAGCATCGTTCTGGAATCATCACCGTAAGACCTCTTTTCATTTTGCTTCCTAACTGTATTTTTAAATGCTCCAAATTGCTATATGTGAAATAATCTGGGAAGTTAGGGTATTGGATACAAAATTTAATTATGCCATTTTTGAAAATTTATATATTTGTAAATATATTTATGTGTTCTGGAAAGTTCTGGTTACCTCTCCTCCTCCCACCTAGTCACTGTATTGTTATTTTGTTGACTCAAACTGTTCTTCAGTTTTTGGTGCATACACTCATATTTCTACAGATAATGTAGCACTGTGGTCAGAGAGTAGGGTAGTAAACGGTAGAGCTTTCTTAATATTTTTAAAGTAAGGGAACTGTGAGGATGAATAGACAGTGTTGGGAAAATAAAATAACAAGCCAGGCCCCCATAATCCCAGCTACTTCGGAAGCTAAAGCAGAAGGACTGCTTGAGCCTCATCTCTTAAAAAAAAAAAAAATTAAAGAACAATAGGTCACAAAGAGCCTGTAAACATCATTTCTGAACTCCATGCCTACCTCATAATAGCCTACTAATTGATAACATAAATTCAGCTTCTTAATTGAGTATTTATACCCCATCAGCTTAATGCCTAATTTGTATATTCTCACATTAATATGCAATATCTTAATTTATTGGCTTATATAATACAGATAGCTCATCTGCAAGTAAAACATGGTGAAGAGAATTGGGGGAAAAAAGTAAAATACTTAAAAGATATATAGATAGGTAAAAAGACCCATTAAGTGTTGAGGAGGAGAAGAGGGGTATATAAGATAAAATGAATGTGATCAGGGTTAAAAAAAGGATGGATGCAAGAGTGATGGGTAGAGGAGAAATGGAAGGGTCATGGTTGTCCCTGGGTAGCAAAAACTTCCTTGGTTGGCTAAGGGAGCCAGGGGTGGGGAACCTGCAGCCTTCTGATTTCAAGATTGTTCTTTCTTAAGCACCATGGTAGGCAAGAAAAGCTTCATCTTTCTCTGCTGAATCCCTTTTAATAAAAGGATTTGTTCTGTAAAATTTGGATTCAGTCAAAAGGCTACACTTAAGAACCTGGAAGGTTACAAGTGGCCTTAAGACTGCAGGTTCCTCACCTCTGTGTGGAAATTTAATATTTTATAACTTTAAAAATTATAATTGTAAACCTTTTGGTTGGTTTTTAATCTTGTATTTTCTAATTCTGAAACTTTAAAAAGTATAGTAATTCAGGACATGATTGAAATGTTAATTGATTTGATTTAAAAATCAGCAGCGGTTGGTTAGGGTTAGGTTCATGCCTTTAATCCCAGCACTTTGGAAGGCTGAGGCAGGAGGATTACTTGAGGCCAGGAGTTCAAGACCAGACATAGGGAGACCCCCATCTCTACAAAAAAAATTTAAAAATTAGCCAAGCGTGGTGGCATACTCTTATAGTTCTAGCTACTCAGGAGGCTTAGGCAGGAGGATTGCTTGAGCCCAGGAGTGCAAGGCTACAGTGAGCTATGACGGTGCCACTATACTCTGGCCTAGGTGACAGAGTGAGACCCTGTCTCTAAAAAAATAAAAATAAATAAAAATTATATACTCTCATGACATAAAAATGAACCATATGTAGAATCTCACAAGCCTAATTATTACTAAGCAAAACAATATAACTCTTGAAGCCTAACCAAATTATCTTAATCTGTTTTTTAAAGGACATTTTTCAAAGAAAGACACAAGTCACGCACTTGAATCTTTCCATATGTAAATTATTTTATAGAATCACAAACCCCCAAAATCATTTGCTACCTAAAAATACCTATGTTCTGCTTTCCTGACCTAAAGTGGGAAAGCAAGTTCAGTATAGAGTAGAACTGTGAAGAGTTTTTGCTTCTCTATGTCTGAAGAATGTAAAATGTTTGGAGTCTTCACTTTAGGCATATATTTCATAAAGCTTATGTGTTTGTATTCAATTTTCAATCTGTAACACTGCATTTGAAATTCAGCTAGTTTTAACCTAAAGAATAATGAGAGAGTTTTAACCCTTTGCACTCAGATGTCAAGTATGGATAATGTCGAGTGGATAATGAGAAAAAAGCAAGTGAGTGCAAAGGGTTAAACAGATAAGCTTAGTGGTAAACTAATGATAATAATTTGCATTAGCTGGTTACAGTCACTTTTATATAATCTCAGTGTTCTATTTGGGAGAACTCAATGAATTAGGAAAGATATATAATACCCATCTTATAGGTGAGAAAGCTACACTTAGAACATATGTCCAAATCTACAGAACAAAAACTCTTAAGGCCTTCCCTGCTAGAACCAGCAGGGAAAACTTTGTATACCAAACAAGAATTTTGTTGATTTTTGGGGGGGGGGGGAGTGCAATTTAGAGAAAATTCTTTGCAATTTTTAATCCATATATTTTAGTTTTTCCATTGGCCAAATGCATTTCAATAGATACTGAATTGATCTTTTTTTTTTTTTTTAAGATTTTTCACATTTTTTTAATGGACAGTTAAAATCATCTCACAAAGTTCTCTATTTCTTAAGTACGTACAGGAGATTACTTGTACTGTTTAGAATAAAGTTACTATTTATAGGCAGGGATAAAAATAAGATCATAGTCTACCATTTGCTTTTCTTTAAATGTTTCATAGAAATTAGACTGGTTTTGTTTGTAATTTTATGAGATAAATAGTAGCTCTAGAATAATTTTAAAATACTAACAGATGTTTGTTTTAATAAATCCATAACAAAAATACTAATATACTCCTAATGTGTAACAAGGAAGCTCTGGTATCTATAAAAATAATAATCACAGTATGTGAATTGGGTAGTTAAAATTTTTTTTATTAGTATACAAATTCCTAGTGGCAGCAACAGAGAGCTGCTTTGCCTGCAAAATATGCTGCTTTCACTGCATTCGTGAGAAAATTTAAAGTGGACTAGACTGAAATACATTGGGAACGTTTTTGCCCACATCTTGATTGACAGGTCTTACAAATTTTTGCTACTATGTACATATTGCTCTATTATGAACATAATGCACTTGACGTTTTCATTATTTGCTCTCCACTTAACATTTTCCAAAATGTCAAAGTTGCCAAGCACAGTTCCTCTCTACTCAGTAGGCTAAGGCAGTAGGATAGCTTGAGGCCAGGAGTTCAAGCCTATAGTGTGCTATGATCACCGTCTCCCCCCTTCCCCACTGCAGTAGCCACTGCACCCCAGCATGGGGTGACCATGTCTCTTTAAAATAAAAATTTTTTAATTAAAAAGATCAGGTTGGGCACAGTGCCTCATACCCATAATCTTACCACCTTAGAAGGCCAACCAAGATGGGAAAATTGCTTGAGCCTAAGAGTTGTAGACCAGCCTGAGCAATATAGGGAAACTCCATCTCTACAGAAAATAGAAAAATTGGCCAGACATGGTGATATGTACCTATAGTCCCAGCTATTTGGGAGTCTGAGGTGGGAGGACCACTTGAGCCCAAGAGTTTGAAGTTGCAGTGAGCTATGGTGATACCACTAAACTCTAGCTGAGGTGACAAAACAAGACCATCTAAAAAAAAAAAAAAAGGTCAAAGTTTAAGATAAGCAAGTTATTTATGATGAAAATCCCCAGTGTAAAAATTGGGCATTTGGCAGGAGTTTGAGATTAAGTGAGCTATGATCATGCCACTGCACTGTATCCTGAGCAAGAAAGACCCTGTCTCAAAAAAAAAAAAGTTGTGTATTTGGGACACTTTTAGAATTAGTTAAAGAAATTAGAAATTTCTAGTTTCTAGAAATTTCTTAGAAAAACTTTCTTAGAAAAAGTTAACATAAGTAGTACCATTAAATTAGAAATGTTATCAATTAAAGTAAATATGATTGTATTTGATCTCCACTAGTCTTCCTTTCTGTTCATTAAAATATAAGTAATTTCTATTAGATTTTCAAATATAGCAGTATTACCATTTATAACCAAAATGAAGTGATTTAAAGTAGCCATGTTCAGGATACGCTCTGATTAACTCCTACGTGTTCTGTTGAGGCCTCGGATACTGGCAGGTAGAAGGGGTGCTTAGCTTTTATCTATTTCATAAGTTGGCTTCTGAGTAGTATTTCATTTGAAGAAAAGATTCCACTGCTACAAGAAGTTTAGAAACCTCTGATTTAGAATAACTTTTCTCTTGCTTTTTGTAGTTATTTTCTTTGAGGTGCAACTGTATAACATAATGAATGGTAAGAGTACAAGTTCTGGATTCAAACTAGGTTTAAAACTTGATTCCATCACTTCTAATTAGGTGACCTTTGATGAGTTATCTCTTTAAGCTTTAGTTTTCTCACCTTTTAAAAATAAGGTGTTAAGGCCAGGCGCGGTGGCTCACGCCTGTAATCCTAGCTCTCTGGGAGGCCGAGGCGGGCGGATTGCTCAAGGTCAGGAGTTCAAAACCAGCCTGAGCAAGAGCGAGACCCCGTCTCTACTATTAAATAAAAATTAAAAAAAAAAAAATAAAATAAAAATAAGGTGTTAATATCTACCTTATAGGGTTGCTGTGAACATATGATTATATGTAGCTTTTTTCAATTAAGCTTTTGGGATATATTCTGACACCTTTTAATATATTATTAACAATTTATGTGCCTGCATATTTTTGAAGTACGGGTATGTGGATGAACACAGTAAGGAATTCTCCACATTCTCAACTTTATCCTTAAGTCCCAAATCACAAGACACTCTACACAGACTTCAGAATCCTCAAGTGTTAAGTCCATTTCCCTGAGCCATTCTTTTCACAGACTATCCCATGCTAGTCCTATCTAATGAGTCCCCTGCAGCTTTGTCCATACCATGACAACTCCTTTTGCTTAGTCCTCACAGCTTTGCCTTTTCTCTGCCCCCCTCAGCTACTGGAAGTGATGACTTCCATCTACAAACTCAGTTTTACCTAATTCCCATTCTAGTCTTGACCAAGTCTAGCGCAATATATTATGAACCCTACAAATACTAGACTGCTCTAGGACAAAGAAATAAAAAAAACCAAAGACAGTATGAATTGAAGATATCAAGCCATGGGGACTCATATTAGATGCTGTATTTTGTGACAGCAAGACTAATTGCAGGTCCCCAAACTGCTATAACTACAGTATACTTATCTGCCATCTATGACTGAAGTCTTGATTACTTATATTTGGGTGCTAAGGACAGAGACTGAATTCCCAGTGAAAAATAGAATGACACTAGTGATTACAGTTAAATGAGACATAATCTTCTGTTATGTATCTTCGAAAATACAAGTTTTAAAAGAGCCATCATTCCTAGCAAGTTTGTATTAGTGTCTAATAAGAATATTGTTTTTATTTATTTTCTAGTCTTAAGTTAGAATAAATTTTTTGCTTCTGTGACAGGTTTGTATGCACAGTCAGACCTTTAGCATTTTTTTTTAATTCATGATTTTCAAGGTTTATCTTGTTCATTTTTCTTTTTTTTGAGACAGAGTCTCACTCTATTGCCCGGGCTAGTGTGCCATGGTGTCAGCCTAGCTCACAGCAACCTCAAACTCCTGGGCTCAAGCGAACCTGCCTCAGCCTCCAGAGTAGCTGGGACTACAGGCATGGTGATGCCCAGCTAATTTTTTGTTTCTATTTTTAGTTGGCCGGCTAACTTTTTCTATTTTAGTAGAGATGGGGTCTCACTCTTGCTCAGGCTGGTCTTGAACTCCTGAGTTTAAACGATCCACCCACCTGGGCCTCCCAGAGTGCTAGGATTACAGGCGTGAGCAACCACGCCCCGCCTCGTTTTTCTTTTTAATAATTAACAACAATGATCCCTTCAGGATTACCTTTCTTTCCAACTTTCTCTATGACTGATCTTTTCCACCTCCCATCTTTAAAGCCAGATGATCGCCTCCACTTGTAAGACTCTAGCTGCAGCCCAGATTCTCAGGTTGTTTATTGGACCGTTAGTGCTGTTACTTCTTTCTTTGATTTCTTTTTCCCTAGTTCTGTCTAAGCCACCTGTTAGTACGTGCTGGCCTTCTCTTTAAAGTATAGGTTTCTCCCTTCAGGGTGCCAGCTATTATCACCTGGGCTACTATTCCTAATAGAGTTATGTTTCACTATGCTGCCTGGTTATTCTCCCAAGTATATGGTGTCTCCTCATTTGGTTATATTTGGCAGTTTTGTGTGTGTATGTGCCTAGAAATAGTATCATTTTTAAGAACTGGTCTATTTTGTGACATTATTTAAAATGTATTATAGGCTGGGCGTGGTGGCTCACGCCTGTAATCCTAGCACTTTGGGAGGCCGAGGCGGGCGGATTGCTCAAGGTCAGGAGTTCGAAACCAACCTGAGCGAGACCCTGTCTCTACCAAAAATAGAAATAAATTAATTGACCAACTAAAAAATATATATACAAAAAATTAGCCGGGCATGGTGGTGCATGCCTGTAGTCCCAGCTACTTGGGAGGCTGAGGCAGTAGGATCGCTGAGCCCCGGAGATTGAGGTTGCTGTGAGCCAGGCTGACGCCACGGCACTCACTCTAGCCTGGGCAAAAAAGTGAGACTCTGTCTCAAAAAAAAAAAAAGAAAAAAGAAAAAATTAGCAGGGCATGGTGGCACATGCCTGTAGTCCCAGCTACTCGAGAGGCTGAGGCAAAAGGATTGCTTGAGCCCAGGAGTTTGAGGTTGCTGTGAGCTAGGCTGACGCTACCGCACTCTAGCCTGGGCAACAGAGTAAGACTCTGTCTCGAAAAAAACAAAAGATAAATTGAGTTAATACTCTTGGAGTATGTCTTAAAAATGTAATTAATAACCTTTGACCAGTATATGAATTTCAGGTGTCTATGTTGACATTCTTGATTATTTTTACAGACTTTATTGTATGTGTATATAAATAGAGTTTGGCTATTTACATTGGAAGCGTAGAAGGAGGAATCAGTTGCTGGGATTACTGGAAGAGCATATAATTAAATTGAAATAGCTCCCCAGACCAACCTCACTTTCTGCAGGCATCTGAAGAGCTTTGCCTGCCCCTCTCTGAGAAGTTACTTTAATAAGAAAGTTACATAAGACAATGAGAATGCAGGTAGCCCTGTTATGAAATCCAAAGTTTACTGTCCTTTCCTTGGTCCATCTATGTCTAGACTCCATTCTCCTTAATCTTTTCTTTAGAATTTGACTTAAATCCCAACCCAAGCTCATATACTTGTACTCTCTTCTTATCTGTGTCTTCCTGCTTATTTTGAATATTTAAGAAAGGTCATGCCCACATACCCACTGGAATCTAGCAGTGAACATGGGCATGTGGATTAGAGTGCCCATGCCCTCATCTAAAGGCAACAGCTGCCACTTGGCTTTGTCCAGTGTTTGGCAACTAGTATTGTAGGTCCATTCTTTCCAGAGCTTCCAGATTTTTCATTTTGAAAATCCAGATTTGTGTGTAATTTTAAAATGTAGTCAATTAACTCACTTATAAAAACAACAAATGAGCCAAATGTATGTTAGCCACAATTGGCCCATAAGCCATGAATTTATAACCACTGTTTTAAGATAGTGATTTCTAATGAGATGTGCACAATGAAATTTATCTCTGAAGGGTTTTTTGACTATATGTGCCTAAGAACTGACCCCAGAAATAGAGATTTAGCAGTTTTAGCAAAATATTCCATAATGTCACTGTTGCCCTTCTCATGTAACTGAGGATTCCCACTGTTACACCCATACCCACCAGGTTTGGCTCACTTAGATATTTCACTAAAGATCAGGCTTGAGTTATCCTGCTGTATATTTTGGCACTATAGTTAGACTGATGGCTGGACGAAGAATAAGAAAGTTGTTCTAACTCCATTTCCATCTGATTTCAACCTTATATTCTTTCCCACAAGCCTTTAGTTTTGAGGCTAAATGCTTCCTAGATATGACAACTATGCAAAACCAGAAAAAAGTTTCTAATCTCCTTGCTGAAATGGTTACACTATGCCTAAGTAAAGGGTGAGACCTGTTGATTAATACATGTGGAGTCAAAGACTCTACTTTCAGGGATCGTTTCTATAGTTTGTTATATATGTGGAATCAGGTAACTTCTGATTTTTGTAAAGTTTTGGAAATTCTTTATCAACTGCTTTTTAGAAATGTCACATCTATGAGGTTCTGCCAAGGGATGTCCATCTCTATCTCCTCTAATCTCATGTCGTAGGACATGGTAATTGACTTGAATATATTTACCCTTAGGGATTTGGGTTCTTGGCAGTTGAAAGTACCATAAAAACTACTTACTGTGCTTGGGACCTGGAATTCCTGGCCATTTAAAGCAGATCTCAGTGAAGTTTTCGTTCAAAAGGAAGGGTGTGTGTTCTGATGCAATCCTTACAGACTTAGCAGAATTTAGAGCATTTGTGCCCTGTTACGCAGACATCCAGGTTGAGTGGACATTATTGTTTACTTGCTTAGTTAGGTGATTATATTTTATACTAGATTATAAAATTTCAAAAAGATTCTGTTCTTTCTTAGAAGAAACTTCCCTGGAGGACCATACAATCACACCATGCATTATTAATCCAAACTGACTTCCTTGGCACTAATCATATTTTCAGCTTCAATACCCATATCTACCAGGTATCTAGCAGCCAGCCTCTAGTAAGTTCACACCCAACTTCTCTACTAAGGAGAACATACATATCTAGAGGTCCCTGTGGAAGTAATCTGTATCAGTTGTTTTGGACTACATTATGCCATGATAGCAAATAAGCCTAACTTAAAGTGACTTACAATAACAAAGATTACTTCTTTCTTACATCATATGTACATCATGAGTCAGCTATGGCTCTGCTCCACATTATCTTTATTCTGGAACCCAGAATGACAGCAGTCCCTGTTTGAGTCATGGCTAGTCCCATGGCCAAGGAAGAAAAGAAGCCTAATGAATCATAAGCTGTTTTTTAGGGGTTCAGCATTTTGTTTTTTGTGGGTTTTTTGTTTGTTTGTTTTCAGACATGATCTTGATCTGTTGCCCAGGCTAGAGTGCTGTGGTATCATTATAGCTCACTGCAGCCTCCAACTTCTGGGCTCAAGCAATCCTTCTGCCTCAGCCTCCTGAGTAGGTGGGACTGTAGTCGTGTGCCACCATACCCAGCCAATTTTTTTGTAAAGGAAGAGTCTCACTATGTTGCTTAGGCTGACCTTGAACTCCTGGCCTCAAGTGATCCTCCCACCTTGGCCTCCTATGCTTGTTCTTTTGTTTGTTTGTTTTTCATGCTTGCTCTTAAAAGCTAGAATTTCTACCTCAAAGTTTCCCCTGTAATACCTAGTTCTTTTTAACAATTCTAGCAGCCACAAACTGAGGCTTATGCTCTCTAATGTTAATTGATTTTTGCTTTCTGACCTTAAATCATAAACTCTGACAGTATCTCATCCAGTTTTGTCTTTTTCGTGATGATCTCGGCATTCTTACCCAGATTTCTAATCCTTGTCACATTGAGTTCATTACTCTGATGAATTATGATTTATTTCTAAATAGATTAGGCTAATCTCTTAAGTTAATTAGACTGGATGAGGTGTTTATACGGCCCAATTCTCAGTTCTGAATTCTCTTTACCTGCATTATTCTCTGGCTACCCATGACTCCCCTGAAAACCCTAAAAAATTTTTTTAGAAAGGTGTGTACATTGTTATAGAAGATTAATAAATATCTTAGGGATACCTTTAAAGTGTATTTTATTGTATAATTGTTTACATATTTGATAAAATAGGAAATTAGATTTACTACTTTAAAGATAGGAAAATTTTCATTTAAAAAGTGGCACTTACAAATAGATACGATATTTAAAGCCTGTCTCCTACCATTATAAATATCTGGGTCACTTGACCCTAACTTAAAAAATAAATTCTATGAGACAACTTCCGAAATATTTATTTTTTTCCTTTTCTTTTCCTAGATCACAGGAGTCTCCTGGAGATGGACAGCCTCCAGCTCTGCCACCCAAACAATTTAAGAAAAACAGTTGGAACCAAATTCATTATTCACATTCTCAGCAAGATCTAGAAAATCATATTAATGAAACATTTGATGTTCCATCTTCCCCTGAAAAACCTACTGTAAGTAGCTTCCTCAAATTTCTCACTTTCCTTTGAATTTTTTAAATTGTAAATGAAATATCTTTTGTACTGTGGTATTTTTTAGTTGTAAATTATATTATAGTACTTTCTCTTTTTCAGCATATTCTTTGGTTACAAATTGTGCCATGATGTAACTCAGTATGAATTCTATAATTAGAAGTGATTATAGGAAATGCAGGGAGTATATATAATAGGAACCAATTCAGCTGTGGGGTTGAGGGAAGATTCCCAGAAGAGATCATCTCTGACCTGTATCTTGAAACATAAATAAGAATTAGCTAGATTCTTTTCTTCAAAGAGCAAGCATAGAACATACTAAGTGAAAGAAGCCACTAACAAATAGCCATATGTTATATGATTCCATATACATCAAATATCCACAATCTATAGAAAGTATTAGTTATTGACTAGGCTTTAAAGAATGGGAGTTGGGGGAATGGGGAGTGACTGCTAATGGCTATAAGATTTCTTTGGGGGTTGATGAAAATACTTTACAATGAGATAGTGATGATATCTGTACAACTCTGTAACTATAGTAAAAATTATTGAATTATATACTTTAAATGGGTGAAGTGGATTGTATCTCTTGTTTTTAAAAAGCACATGTATCAAGCAGAGGAAGTATCATTTGAATCCCTGTAACATTTATGAGTACTTAATATGTACTTTTATATATATATATATATATATATATATATGTTTATAAGAGAATCTGGCCAGGTTGTAGGAATATAGCAGTCAATAAAGACAGGCATGGCCCCTGTTCCTCCTGGCATTTATGGTCTAGCATGTGGTGGCAAGAATACGTGAAAGAATATACCAGTTTAACTAACTGCAAGTTATTAGTCAAAGAAATTTACTTTTGGGGGCTAACAATTTGATTAGAATTATGATTCTTTACATATTATAGGTAATTAAGCATACCAAAAACTTGCTTCATGTATACCTGAAGGATAGATTTTAAATGAAGACAACTAAAAGTTATTTATTTTTTGTCTTTTTAAGCCAAATGGTGGCATTCCACATGATAATCTTGTTCTAATCAGAATGAAACCTGATGAAAATGGAAGGTTTGGATTCAATGTAAAGGTAGTCTGAAATTTATGTTGTATTCAGTTTTTAAATTCAGATGTTCTTATTTTGCTAATATTTGACTAATGTTTGACTTGCTGTCTTTTTAAGGGAGGTTATGATCAGAAGATGCCTGTGATTGTGTCCCGGGTAGCACCAGGAACACCTGTGAGTTATCTAAATATTTCAACTAAATCCTGTTTTCCAAGCATATGTACTTATTTTATCATTTTTTATTACTTTAAATAAAGGAAGAAAGAAATTTATCATTTCTTTTAATTTGTCAAGTATCATATATCATTAGCTGAATCTCTTGAATTGCTAGGAAATTAGTTTTTATTTGTTCCCTGTCAATAAGAGGAAATCCTTGTTTTTTGAATCTTCGTTTTCATAAAGAAGCTACTTATAACTTTCAGTGCTTCTAAAGTATTAACAGATTCTATCAAAATAACAAAAAAATGTAAACAAGTCGAGTTTTAGGGGCTTTTTTGTTTGCTTGTTTATTTTTTCATTCAGAATAGCTTAAATACATTATATTTGCTTATTTTCTACTTAAGTCAATTTATTTTTTTTCTTTGTTCTTACCACTATCCAAACATGGAATTTACTTTAAATGGAAATCATACTATAAGGATAATTTTTTTGACTTTTTATTATGAACATTCTAAACAAAAGTAGAGAAAACATTATATTTATCCATTATATTGAATCCCCTATATTACTTACCATTTAGCTTCAACAACCATGAACTTTCTGTTGATCATAGGACAAATTATTAATTGTAGGTACATTATCTTTATTGTTGTTATATGTAGCAAATACTGCTTTCAGATTCCCATTTATGTTGTTGTCTACTCTGTTTAATTTCATTTTTCTTACCTAAATGGTTTCTGGACACCCTTCATCATTTCACTGTCTCTCTGTCGTAGGAAGAGTATGGTCCAGCAGCCTGAGAGAAAGGCCAGCTATGTTTTTATGAGTGCTTTCCAAATTTAGTTTGAACATCACAATTGAGATTGATCCAAGGATATCATGATATGTAGTTTTGGTTCTGGTTTTTAAGGACCTTGTTGGTTACAAATAACAGGGTACTCATGGAATACCCCTGGCATAAGCATAAACACAAAATAGCTTCCTTAAGCATAAGTATATTAGATAGCTGTAGAGGTTTTACACAAAACCTAAGGATAGGAATGCAGTCATTCCTAGAAGGAACTTTAAAAATCATCAGGACTCTGCTTTTCACCTCTATTTCTTTTTATGTGATTGTTCCTTTCTTCTCATTCAGTGGAAATTAATTTGTACACTGAATCAGCTTTATCTCTGAAGCCTCTCCAGATAAACACTCAAGACTAAATAAAAACAATGTAATTAGTAGCAACTTCAAGCCAAGTCCTATGATATCGCCACCACTGTGCATATTAAGGGTGGAGACAAAGATGGTAGAGATTACCCAAAATTATTTAATGTATGTTTAATGGGAAATATGTATATATTGGGGACTGCAGGTAAGGAGAGACTGCAGAATTCTCATCTGTCATATAGAAAGTTAATAGATAATGTCTAGGCCATGCTCGGTGGCTCATGCCTGTAATCCTAGCATTCTGGGAAGCCGAGGTGAGTGGATCGCCCAAGGTCAGGAGTTGGAAACCAGCCTGAGTAAGAGTGAGACCCTATCTCTACCAAAAATAGAAAAAAATCAGCCGGACATAGTGGCACATGCCTGTAGTTGCAGCTACTCGGAAGGCTGAGGCAGAAGGAGTGATTGAGCCCAGGAGTTTGAGGTTGCTGTGAGCTAGGCTGACGCCATGGCACACTAGCCTGGCTAATAGAGCGAGACTCTTTCTCAAAAAAAAAAAAAAAACAAGAAAGAAATGGTTTCTTTATAAATCGTAGCTCTTTAAACTGTGATTTATAACTTTACTGAAAATAAAAATTTAAACTAAACATTTTAAAAAATCAATTATATATCTTTTGACCCAATAATTTTAGGAATTTTCCCTAAGAAATAATTGGGCTAGGGAACAAAGGATACTTAGTTACACAAAGATATTCATTGTAGTGTGGTTTATAATAGTTTGAAATTGAAAAAATAAAATGTACATCATTAGAATTGGGGAAATTAATTATATGTTGCTTTGCAGCTATTGAAATGATGATTTAACTCTATATAAATATGGAAATATGTCCATAAGATGGTATTATGGGATAATGTTACAATTCCACATATATGTTTGACACAGTTTAGTAAAATGTAAATTGTGTACATAGAAAAAGTCTAGAAACATGCCCCAAAAGTTAGCAGTGTTTCATCTGGGTAATGGAATTACTAGTATTTAACACTTACTTCTATATTCCTTCTTTAGTTGTCAGAATTATGACAGCATGCACTGCTCATATAATTAGAAAAAATAGTACACCTTTCTTTATTTGTATGGCAATCATAATAGTGAATAACACAAAAGAAATATTGATTTTTTTTTCTAAGCAGTGAATTTGGAATATTTTCAACTAAGTCAAGAATGTTCAGGGAACATTCTATAGACAGGTTCATTTCCAAATGGAATTCTATGACTGTAAGTTTTCTTTTTAAGCTATACAGATTTTTTTTTTTTCTGAGACACAGTCTCACTCTGTTGCCCGGGTTAGAGTGCCATGGCATCAGCTTGGCTCACAGCAACCTCAAACTCCTGGGCTCAAGAGATCTTACTGCCTCAGCCTCCCAAGTAGCTGGGACTACATGCATGCACCACCATGCCTGGCTAATTTTTTCTATATATTTTTAGTTGGCCAATGAATTTCTTTCTGTTTTTAGTAGAGACGGCATCTCGCTCTTGCTCATGCTGGTTTTGAACTCCTGACCTTGAGCAATCTGCCCACCTCACCCTCCCAGAATGCTAGGATTATAGGCATGAACCACTGCACCTGACCTAAGCTATACAGATTATTGGTCATTTTCCCCTTCTGCCACGTAGAACTATGTCCCATAAATAATGGCTGAATTTAGAACAAATAAAAACAATAGGAATTTATCATTTTCATATTATTTTATTAATTTAGAGACTACAGTCTTCAAATTCGAAACCAAATTTTAGGTAATTGGGGGAAATGGACAGGGTTTCAGGTTGTTTAAATTTTTTATGAATACATAATAGTTGTACATATTTATGGGGTTCATATTTCAATGTCATTTTTATATTGGACACCTTCTGAAGTAGTTAAAATAACTCCCAAATGAAGTCATGTGTCTCTTCCCTTTTTTTTTTTCACCCCCCTACTTTTTCTTAGAGACAAGGTCTGACTATGTTGCCCAGGCAGAAGTGTGGGCTATTCACAAGTGTGCTCATAGCTCACAGCAACCTCAAACTCCTGGGCTCAAGTGATCCTCCCACCTCAGCCTCACAAGTAGCTGGGACTGCAGGCACGCATCACTGTAATCTGGCCATGTTTCTCTTCCTATCTGATAATCTTTTAGCCAAGAGCTGTTGCTCCAACAAAATTCATTTTAATATGCAGTTTATCTACACTTTCCAAATCAGAATGAAATGCAAATAAAAAATAACATACCCCAAAAAAGGCAGGTTAAGTATGAGAGTTCCTTGAGCAATAATGGGTATAGTAAGAGAGACTCATAGCTGTCCTCTCTAACACAGAGACCACCTCTTCTTTCCTACCAACTACACTATCAACAAAGTAATGTGAGAAGATTGCTCTTTCAGCTAAGGCCCATTACTACATTTTCCCCAGTATCATTACCTCCCAATTCACCACATTTCAGGTGTCTCAAAGACATTTACAAAAACTTTGAACCACATTGGTGCACAAAAAAAGCATTACACTAGTAGTACACAAAGGAAGTATATGAATGTCTGTCATCTACTTCCCCTCAAGAGTAGAAAAAATAAGCAACTCAAGAGAATGGACAAAACCCTAATTTGAATATTTTAGATTTTAAAGCTTTGCATTTAATTATCTTATTTTATCTTCATAAACAATGTTATGAAATAACAGGGCAGGTATCTGTTCCATTTTCATTGTTTTAGGTGTCCATGATCACACATTTCTTAAGCAGCACAGGAAAAACTTGACTTCTAGACCAGTGCCCTTTCAAGTAATGACAATACTTTGTTGGATTTTATTAACTTTGCATTTATAATGAATTTGAGTAGCTGTGCTTTCATTTCTTAATGCCTTTGCCACAAGAAGTTCCCTTTTTGTAAGATTCAACCCCATCATTTCCTTCTCTATCTGGCCTATCATCCTTCAAACTTGATTCTCACATATTTTCATTGCTTTGTTCCTAGAACACACTGTCCATATTTCAATTTGTTTTTATCTCTTTTACCTTAATTACTGTTTTGTTTCTCAATAAAGTGCAGATGGTCCTCACTTTGCACAATAGTGCAGGATGGTAAAAATGAACACTCAGGAAGAAATCATGGGCCGGGCGTGGTGGCTCATGCCTGTAATCCTAGCACTCTGGGAGGCCGTGATGGGCAGATCGCTCAAGGTCAGGAGTTCGAAACCAGCCTGGGCAAGAGTGGGACCCCATCTCTACTAAAAAATAGAAAGAAATAAGCTGGACAACTAAAAAATATACATACAAAATGAGCCGGGCATGGTGGCGCATGCCTGTAGTCCCAGCTACTCAGGAGGCTGAGGCAGTAGGATCGCTTAAGCCCAGGAGATTGAGGTTCTTGTGAGCTAGGCTGACGCCATGGCACTCTAGCCTGGGCAACAGAGTGAGACTCTGTCTCAAAAAAACAAAAAGGAAATCATCCAGTGATCTTGATCAGTGGGGACATTTATGGTTGTTACCATTACATTTAAATTTTTCATCAAAAAAATCAAAATTTCTGTTTCTTATAAAGGTAAAAAGAAATGAAAAATAGTAAAATTAATATTGATTTAGTATCCTGTAATTTGAAATATTGAGCATTAACATGTTTTATTTCCTGTGAAAACTTATTATAAATAGTTTGAACAGTGCTTGCTAACTTCTTGTCATTTTTGTAACAGTACAAAGTAAGCATCTTTTCTTGCCTTGGCAAGCCGTCGTAATCCTCTCTTAGTTTGGATCCACTTCCAACATTTTGTCCTTTGAACTTTCAGTGTTGTGAAATATCTCCCAGAGTTCTACATATCTACATATGTAGAGTCTGTCAAACAGCAGCAGCTGTTTGACCATTTCCATGGTTACCTATTTATTCTATAACTCAGTTTTACTTCTAGCATTAATCATCTTTCATTTATTTGTGGTGCTTTCATCTTTTTCTGGTCAATTCCTTCTTTAGATTGCTTGTTTTTATATATGAATTATCACTGAGAGACAAAGAGGCAGTACAACTATATGCTTTGCTGTCTGTGCATGAACTGAATGACAAATGTGCATCATCAAATCAACAATAGACTTTGGAAGAACTGATGTGATTAGTCCCTGATATGATGAGTTCTATCATTTATGTAATGATTTTTCTACTGAAGACATAACAAAGTTTGTACTTTATGCAATTATTCATAGTACATTGTGGTAACTAAAATTTCAACCACATTGTTGGGGGGCTGATGTTATTTAACACATTAACTGGCACATGATTTATAATTAACTCACGCTAGTTTTGAGCCTCGGGCCTCATGAAGCAAACGTAACTCACATGTCTCTTTATCTTGAGCCACATGAACTACTTTTTAAGTTGCATGTAATTCACACACACAAAACAATAAAAAGTAACAAAATTTTCTTTAAATTAAAAAGGATCATTTTATTTTCGAAGTTTTTTTCTATGGCCCCAGGGGAAAAAATTTTTTTTTCTAGTGTGGCAATGTTTTAACTAACCCGTAGTAACTGAAACTTGTATGTATCTAGACGGTACAAAGCAAGGGCTGGCTGTGTGTATGCACCTTGAAATTATCGGTCTTCTCTATATGTCTAGGCACATAATAGGTCATCAAGGAAGAAACTGTTGAATGAAGAAGGGGAAAAAATAGAATCTTCATGGGATAGCTATGTTTCTATATTTTTTAAAATAAATGAATAAATGGATAGATCCTTTTTTACGTGTAGTTTAGTTCTTCTGTTCTAGAGTCTATAAAAATAAATTTCCGTGCTTTACTTTCAGAGAGCTGCATGCAAATTTGAAATCTTATCTGCATTACATTACAGGCTGACCTCTGTGTCCCTCGATTGAATGAAGGGGACCAAGTTGTACTGATCAATGGTCGGGACATTGCAGAACATACCCATGATCAGGTTGTCCTGTTTATTAAAGCTAGCTGTGAGAGACATTCTGGGGAACTCATGCTTCTAGTTCGACCTAATGGTAAGTACTCTATGTAGTATTCGATATTTGTCATAATTCATTACAATTTATTACTGGACACATCAGCTGGAGTGCTAACTTAAAACATAAGTCGTGTCAGTTTCCTGCTCAAAGCAGAATGGCTTCCATTCACACTTGGAGTAAAATCCAATTTCATGGCCGCCTTTCCTCCCATTCAGCCTTATTCACCCTTCTCTATTCTATACTGGCTTTCTTGCTGTTCCTCAGATGTTCCAATCTTATTTTTGTCCTTGGCTGTTCCCTCTGCCAAATACATTCTTCTTGATTTTTATATGACTTACACCCTCACTTCATTCAGGTCTCTGCTCAGATATCATCTTCAGAATCTTTTCCTCTCCTGACTACCATTGATAAAATGGCCTCTCTTTTCCCCCAGTTGCCCTAGTAACAGTACTAAGTACTCAGATATTTTTTGAATAAATGAGTAAATTTGAACCTTGTTCCACCTTTGGAAAACTCTATAACAAGCTATAATTAGAACAGTTGTTTAAAAATCCTGTCTATGTTGGCTGGGCATGGTGGTTCAAGCTTATAATCCCAGCACTCTAGGAGGGCAAGGCGGGAGCATCACTTGAGGGCAGGAGTTCGAAACCAGCCTGATCAAGAGTGAGACCCCTGTATCTATTAAAAATAGAAAAAGTTATCCGGCCAACTAAAAATAGAAATAAAACATTAGCCAGCTGTTGTGGCAGCTGCCTGTAGTCCCAGCTACTTGGGAGGCTGAGGCAGGAGGATCACTTGAGCCCAGGTGTTTGAGGTTGCTGTGAGCTATGATGACGCCATGGCACTCTAGCCTGAGCAACAGAGCAAGACTCAGTCTCAAAAAAAAAAAAAAAAATCCTTTCTATGTTTTCTGTAGAGATGTCTACGGACATCTGCCTAATCATTTGATCTCCCACTCTGCACAGCTGACTTATTAATTTATAGTCATAGAGTCCCAGGTTTTGGAGAAACTTTAAACACCATAAGCTTTGGCTCCTTTGCTAATTGCATGATTCTCCTCTTGAACAACCTCAAAAACATCCTACTAATGTAGAGCACTCGGTGGCTCCTGAAGCAGTTCATTCCATCTTTGGATAACTTGTACTATAAATTGAACTAAAGGTCCATCTTCTTTCAGTTGCGTTGTTCCTAATTCTATCACTTTCTGCTGTGTAGAGTAAGTTTAAACCCTCTTCCTTCAGTTTTTTGACAACAGCTAATTTTACCAGGAACTTCCCTCCACTTCTCCGGTTTATTTAGCAGTCCCAGAGCCTCAGCGAGTATTCAAAGGGCATTGTTTCAAGTTCCCTCAATACTTTATCAATCTCCTCCAAGAAGGAAGTTGTATGTGCCTATCTCCCAGAATTAGACATATTCTTGTAGTTTTATTCAGAACAGTTTGCCATTGATCATAGTTTTAGCCATAGAATAGTTATCGTTTAATACCATGTTACCACTTATTGAATATGTAACATAGGAAACTTCTACCTATTGCCACCACACCTAACCATGCAAACTTTTGCAAGAAAGTTTTTGTTTTTAAAGGCTGCAGTGGTGGCTCATACCTGTTATCCCAGCACTTAGGGAGGCTGAGGAGGGAGGATTGCTTGAGGCCACGATTCTGAGACCAGCCTAAGCAACATAGTGAGACCTGTCTTTACAAAAAATGTTTAAATATTAGCCAGGCATGATGTCATGTGCCTGTAGCTGTAGCTACTCAAGAGGAATTCTAGGTTGCAGTAAGCTGTGGTCATGCCACTGTACTGAAGCCTAGGCAACAAAAGCAGACCGTGTCTGTTTAAAACAAACAAACAAACAAACAAACAAAAACTCTTCTTGTTCACAAATAAGCATTTTCATTGATCTTCTCCATTCATGGTCTAGAATTGGCTTTCTAGGAAGATTAATAGGACTTCAACAGAATGTTCTGGTTTTACTTTTCAAGGAGCTTGTTCATTTAGACCTGATACTTAGGTAATCATTACTAGCCATTTTCTGTCACATAAAACTGTTTAGATTTTATCCCAGGAATAATATTCTTTCAATTTTATTGCTTTCTCTTGATAATAGATCCTAAAGAACTTAATAATAACAGCTAATAGTTATTAAAAGCTTTCTGTGCACCTAGGCTCTTTTGTATATTCTCATTTAATCCTCAGAGCCATCCAGTGAGATGAGTTATCCTCCTTTTAGAGTTGAAGACACTATGGCACCAAGACATTCAGTTACCTAATTAGAGATTCATGACTGGTTCAGAGCCAGAATATGAATGCGAAAGCATGGCTGTTGTTCAATTCCAAATTGCCTCACTTACACTTTAAACTAGGAGAGGTATCTACCTATGGCCTACTTCTTACAAAAGATCTTTCTAACATTGTTTTATAGTCAAAATCTGGACCAGAACCTCTATCTGCTTTCACCGTGGGTCTCTCATGTCCATTCTTTTTTTTTTTTTTTTGAGACAGAGTCTCACTTTGTTGCCCAGGCTAGAGTGAGTGCCGTGGCGTCAGCCTGGCTCACAGCAACCTCAATCTCTTGGGCTCAGTGATCCTACTGCCTCAGCCTCCCGAGTAGCTGGGACTACAGGCATGCGCCACAATGCCTGGCTAATTTTTTGTATATATATTTTTAGTTGGTCAGTTAATTTCTTTCTATTTTTGGTAGAGACGGGGTCTTGCTCAGGCTGGTTTAGAACTCCTGACCTCCAGCAATCCACCCATCTCGGCCTCCCAAAGTGCTAGGATTACAGGCGTGAGCCACCGCGCCCGGGCCATTCTTTTTTTAAACAATGAATCCTAACATCTCATGTCCATTCTTATTTAAGATAACATATAACCAGGCCAGCCGCGTTGGCTCACGCCTGTAATCCCAATACTTTGGGAGGCCAAGGTGAGAGGATTGCTCTAGCCCAGGTGTTTGAGACCAGCGTGGGCAATATAGCAAGACCTCATCTGTACAAAAAATAGTAATAATAATTAATTAAAAATGCTTAATCAAAATTTAAAGTTATGTGTTTGCCAAGAATATACTTTGGTTTTTCTGATCTTTTCCCCTTTAATTCATATTTTGTTAGGCAAATGCAGTCATACCTCTTCGTCTTTTCATTCTTCATTTCAGAGATTTATTTTTCTTAAAAATGTTACATATTTGAGGGCCTCCTGGACAAGAGTACAAGAAGTCTCTACCTTTGCTCCAAATTTTAGAAGGCCCTGCTCTGGCTCTTCTCTAACACTGTAACCTAGCCTCCCTTGCCAGACCACCTTTTTCAATCCTCATTTCTCGTTTCAAATAGCCTTGAGCCCACTTCCTAGGCATTTGTGGGCATTTTCCACAGGTCCCTTCTCGCAAGGGTGGATCACATAGTATGTGTACCCTAGGCCAGCAAGGTGGCTAAGAAGCAGGAGTTTGCAGAGAAGGAGGTGTAGAAAAGAGCTTAAATGTGGCCTGAGATATTTACAGGTATGTTTATAGGTTCCCATGTTAAAGACAAGAGCTAAGAGTAGAAAAAGAAGTAAGGTAAGCTACAGTCCTAGGGTCTAGGGTCTAACTTTCTTCATACTACCATGACCATGAATTCCGGCCTTCAAGTCTCATTTGAAATCTGGCCTCCCAGGTTGTTTTGTAGATGTGTTAAGTAAAAAGGGTAGAGCCATGTTTTGTTTAGCACTGTGTTCAATTTTTTGGTAACTTACCATATTTAGACATATGTTATATAGGCCTTGATTTGTGCTCTTGCCCTAGGTCCCACAAATTAAGGGCAGGTATTTTCAGAGCTGCTAGCAGCTCCTTTTTTTCTTAACGTCTTTTCAAGGTATAGACATTTTCAGCTATGGCTAAGAACCCTTCTTTGCCCAAAGGTACAACAAAGCCCATCAATTCCACAGCTATTCTCTCTCCCTGCATAGTAGCACCAGGCTCAGACCTGGTGTAATTCTTCCTAAATGAATTATTTTTCTGATATGAGGAATGTAACTGGTAAATTCTTATCCTGAATTCATTAAGATCTCCATGTATGTTTTTGTTTTGTTTTAGCTGTATATGATGTAGTAGAAGAAAAGCTAGAAAACGAGCCAGACTTCCAGTACATTCCTGAGAAAGCCCCACTGGATAGTGTCCATCAGGATGACCATTCCCTGCGGGAGTCAATGATCCAGCTAGCTGAAGGGCTTATCACTGGAACAGTCCTGACACAATTTGATGTAAGTAATATCATTGTATATAAAAAGCATTTGCCTGTATTTTCTAATTAGTTTCATGGTTTCTTAACTGCCTAATCTATCCATTATAATTTATATACTAAAATGGTATTCTGAGAAATGTTTGACATGAAAAGAGTTCTAAAATGCAAAGTTTTAAAACTTGCTCCCCAAATACTACCTATGATTATATAAGTAGATGTTTGTTTTAAAAATAGGAATAAGGAAATTTTACACATAAGTCAGCAAACTAAATTTTTTTCATAATTAAATAGCTGTTTTTATTAAAGGTAGTAGATGAGTATAGGCCCTTACAGACTTTAAAATCCTGAGTTAAAGGAAAATAACTTTTATTTGTATTTAAATTATACCTTGTCATATTTAATCTTTCTTTAATTTTTATCAGTGTAGTCTTGAAAACTGGAGAAAACAAAACTCTCAGATCATTATATTAGAAGAACAGGAATGCTTCTTGAGCATTTAGAATCCATATTTTGACCAATGAGCATAGAGTGGATTTTAAAATACTCTATTTAGACTGGGCGAACTTTTAACTTGTTTAATTTAATAAAACTGAATGGTTTTTAATGTGTTTTGAAAAATGGCCATCATTAATATTTGATTCTCTGAACTATATATTATAGATACATGTTTGTAACCATAAAACATTTAGGGGTATATGTCTGTTTTTCTTTTAAAAAGTTCTTAGTACATATACTGTAAATACCTCTAACCTAAATGGAAGGAAGCTCAATGTTTTCTGCAGATTTGCTACTCAAAACTTTAGGTACTTCTGCTATAACCATATTGTTTTCACTTGTTTTTCCATTTCTTAAAATATGATATATAATTCATGTCAGAAACTACAGAACTCAGCTTTGCACATCTGGTTCATGACTAGCCTAAAGTACATAATTGTGTAGACCATGTATTCTAAGAAAAAAACTTGTTTCTGTTAGTATAAAAACAAGTCTGAAAAACAAAACAGATATTGTTGATGATGGCTTGTTGGACTTGTAGTTTTGTTTTTTTCTTTTAGCAACTTTATCGGAAAAAACCTGGAATGACAATGTCTTGTGCCAAATTACCTCAGAACATTTCCAAAAATAGATACAGAGATATTTCGCCTTGTAAGTATCTATGGTCTCTTTAAAGTTTAATCTTTTTCTTTTTTTTTTTTGTTTGAGATAGAGTCTCACTCTGTTGCCTGGGCTACAGTGTGGTGGCATTAGCCTAGCTCACAGCAACCTCAAACTCCTGGGTTCAAGCGATCCTCCTGCCTTAGCCTCCCAGAGTGCTAGGATTATAGGCATGAGCCACCACACCCAGGCAAGTTTAATCTTTTTAACATAACTTTATTAACACATTGTTTCTCTTAAATTTTTTCAGATGATGCCACACGGGTCATTTTAAAAGGTAATGAAGACTACATCAATGCAAACTATATAAATGTAAGTTTATTTTATTATGCCTTTGTCATTTGGAATAATAAGGGCCATTATAAACTTTGAAATACATTTCTTTTTGTTACAAGCCTAAGCTTGACAGAATATTAAAATTTCCAGACATTGAAAAATATTATCAAAATAATACTAAAGAAAGTAGGTTGATACTGGCATGTTACTATACTGACAAAGGAGTGGAATGGAATAGTCCAATTCAGAAATAGACTGAAATAAATACTAGAATTTTGTTTATGGTAGAATTGGCCTTTAAAATCAGTAGAGATAAAATAGACTATCCAGTGAATAGGTGGTTAGGTTAACTGTCTAGAATATATCATTGTAACTTCAATTCAAACGATACAAAAGCAAGTTATGCCACTAAAAAGTTCATACCCCCATAGTATTCTGAATTAAAAATAAAATAAAATAAAAGAATTCATAGAAAAGGAATGCAAATGACACTTTACATTTTATGGCCATTTTAAAATCTATACAAAAGTAGAGAAAACAGCTCCATATAACTATTACCCAGTTTTTTGTTGTTTTTTTTTTGAGACAGAGTCTCACTTTCTTGCCCAGGCTAGAGTGAGTGCCATGGCATCAGCCTGGCTCACAGCAACCTCAGTCTCCTGGGCTCAGTGATCCTACTGTCTCAGCCTCCCAAGTAGCTGGGAATACAGGCATGTACCACCATGCCTGGCTAATTTTATATGTATATATTTTTTTTAGTTGGTCAATCAGTTTCTTTCTATTTTTGGTAGAGACGGGGTCTTGCTTAGCCTGGTTTCGAACTCTTGACCTCAAGCAATCCGCCTGCCTCGGCCTCCCAGAGTGCTAGGATTTCCAGGCGTGAGCCACCACACCCGGCCTTGTTACCCAGCTTTAAGAACTAACAACAAATGGCCAGTCTTGTTTCATCTAAGTCTTACCCTCCCCCAATTATTTTTTAAGTCCAAATATATCATTTATTTGTAAATACAGTTAAAATTAAAGTCTTTTTGAACACTGAATTAGAGACTGTTGAATCATTGCCTCAGAGAAATACAGGGCAAGTTTCCTACAAGCCATCTAATCACAACATTTTTGTCAGCTGATCAATATATAACTTTGTTTATGTTTAATGTATATTGTTGATGCATTAACACTGAACTCACAGCCAACAGCACCGTAAAGTGCGCCTCAAGGAAGCTTATGTAATGTGCAAATTTTCTCCATGAGGTATATATCATAGCCTTCTTGCACTTAAGAACATTAGATAGCATTTCAACACTCCAGTTAGGGACCATTTTAAACAGCAAAATCACGAAGAAAAAGCACAAAAATGCAAAAAAATGTGGCGCTACATAGAATTTAAAAAGGGCATTTATTTATAGTATGAGCACTGAAACAAAAAGACACAGAGTTGCTTTGTTCAATCTTAGCTGCCAACATGCATGTTTTTAGGTGACTCAAATTTTGCGATACTCAAGCATGTCTACAGATGACCAAGAAAGCCCTGCCACTGTTTGGGGGTCATGAATAAATTTTAGCAAATATTCCAATTTGCGAACCTTTGACTGAGGATATGTACTTTGGAATATACCTCTGATAAAGGCTTTTTTTTTTTAGCAAAACCACAATACCATTATCATACTTAGAAAAACAACAATATCAAACACAATTAAATGAAAAATACATTCAATTAATGACAAACAAAAGTGCAAGTTAAAACTGCAAGAAATTACTGTTTCACCTATGAGATTGAAAATCAAAAAATTTGATAGTACCACGTACAGTTCCACCTTTGATAGTACCACATACAGTTCCATCCTTTATGTGAAACTATGGATCATATATGCTTTGGGATTCAGAATTTTTAGAATTTTGAAAGGTTATTCAGTGCTTATAACATATAACACGTGGCTATGGGACAAGTACACTCGTAATCAATATATTGATATACAACGGCAAACTATAGATATTCCCACTAAGTAGAACTAATGAAGCGTGTAAATAGTCTTAGGTCAGTTCAGGTCAGATTGTACTGTCAAATGAGCCCAGGTTGGTCAAGTTTACAAAAGATAAAAACAGGCCGGGCGTGGTGGCTCATGCCTGTAATCCTAGCACTTTGGGAGGCCGAGGCGGGCGGATTGCTCAAGGTCAGGAATTTGAAACCAGCCTGAGCGAGACCCCGTCTCTACCAAAAATAGAAATAAATTAATTGACCAACTAAAAATATATATAGAAAAAATTAGCCGGGCATGGTGGCGCATGCCTGTAGTCCCAGCTACTCGGGAGGCTGAGGCAGTAGGATCGCTGAGCCCAAGAGATTGACGGCACTCACTCTAGCCTGGGCAACAAAGCGAGACTCTGTCTCAAAAAAAAAAAAAAAAAAAAAGATAAAAACAGAATAAAACCTTGAATTTCAGAGCTTGAGACTAAGTTTCAGAACTGTGGATAAGGGATTATGGGTCTATTAATGAGAGTATATGGGCGAATAAGCACTATTCATACATTATGGGTGGAAGTGTAAATTGGTAGAATCTCTTTGGAGAGCAGTTTGGCACTATCATCTGTCAAAATTTTAAGTGCACTATACTTTGATCCAGCATTTTCATTTCTTTCTATTGCCCATACAGATATAGTTCTACATTTGTACAAAAGTATTCAGTTTAGCTTTGTTGCTAGTAGCAAGTAGATTAGACTTACATGTGTGTTAAATATTTTGTTGTATTCATACAGTAGAGCTGTCAGTTTTTAAAAAGAATAAAATTTTATATACTAATCTGACATCTCAAAGATAAAGTAAAAAAAAGAAATAAGATGCATAACAACATGATAGTAGGCTACCACTTTTTTAAAATAGTTTTATGAAAAATGGGAAAATAGTTTTGCATGTGTATTTGTGTGTTGTGTATATCATATCTCTGAAAGAGAGGCCAGGCATGGTGGCTTATGCCTGTAATCCTAGCGCTTTGGGAGGCCGAGGTGGGAGGATAGCTTGAACTCAGGAATTTGAGACCAGCCTGAGCAAGAGCGAGACCCCATCTCTACATAAAAAAATTAGACAGGCATTGAGTCCCAGCTACTTGGGAGGCTAAGGCAGATCATTTGAGTCCAGGAGTTTGAAGTTTCTGTAAGCTATGGTAATGCCACTGCACTGTAGCCCAGGCAACAGAGTGAGACCCTGTCGCAAAAAAAAAAAAAAAAAAAAAAAAGAATAAAAAGAAACCAGGAGAAACAGTTGTCCTCCTGGTCATAAACTAGAGGCTGATATGGGACAAGGGACTTCTTTCTTTCTTTTCCCTTTGTTTGCCTTGCGCATATATCACCTTTTTTTTAAAATTTAGCCTCAAAAGGTAGGATGATGACTCATCTTCCCCACTAACTATCTGACCTCATTCTGAAAATTGTGAATTTAAAATATTTTTCTAATATCCTTTAAAATTATTTTATATATAAAGTCCAAGCTAAAACAAATGGCAGAATTTTTTTTTCCTCACAAATTTTATCAAGAAGCTATTTACTGATAAATATTTTTTATTTCTTTACCAAGTCTCACCCTCTGAAACGGGTTCTCTGTAATATTGCTCTAAAAACCATAAGAGTATTTGAGAAATAGTTAAATTCCTGTTTCCACTAATTGAAAGATAAATATATATAATTACTGAACATTGCCAATAGATTTCTTCTACAGATAAAATAAAAAATTGTTTATAAAGATTTTTTTTACTAACTAGTTTATTAAGATAGTTTATTCAATTCAACAACCAGTCAGTAGATGATTTTCATATTCATGATGATAGCAAAAACAAATAATGCAAAGATTTTATTTTTATGTTCTTTTCTTTTTAGATGGAAATTCCTTCTTCCAGCATTATAAATCAGTACATTGCTTGTCAAGGGCCATTACCACACACTTGTACAGATTTTTGGCAGATGACTTGGGAACAGGGCTCCTCCATGGTTGTAATGTTGACCACACAAGTTGAACGTGGCAGAGTAAGTCATAGTTGAATCTTTCTTTTTGTTGTTACTGTTATCATAGTTGAATATTTCATAGTTGAATGTTATCATAGTTGAATAGTGTGAATACACCATTACTTGGGCTTTTCTTCAAATTCTCTTGCATATATATAGTAAAAATATGCACATTAATTTAATCTTTTGACCAGGCGTAGTGGGTCACGCCTAGCACTCTGGGAGGCCAAGGCGGGAGGATTACTTGAGGTTAGGAATTTCAGACCAGCCTCAGCAAGAGCAAGACCCTGTCTCTACTAAAAATAGAAAAAATTAGCTGACCATTTGAAATACAAAAAATTAGCAAGGTATGATGGCCCATGCCCGGAGTCCCAGCTACTTGGGAAGCTGAGGCAATAGGATCACTGGAGCCCAGGAGTTGGAGGTTGTTGTGAGTAAGCTGCCGCCATGGCACTGTAGCCCAGGCAACAGAGTGAAACTCTGTCTCAAAAATAATAACAATAATAATCTTGTCTAACCTTCAAGCTGCTTGTGGTTTCATGATTTAAATCATCATGATTAAGTGCTTAAAACTGGGACTAACACTTTGACGTGTTAACCATTATTATTGTCATTGTTATTATTTAAAGGGATTAATATATATCTGATAAGGAGCTTTTATCTAGAGTATATAATGAACTCTTACAACTCAACAATAAAATGACAAATAACCTAATTAACAAATAGGCAGAGGATTTGAATAGACAGTTCTCCAAAGAAGATATACACATGGCTAATAAACACATGAAAAGATGGTCAACATCATTAGTCATCAGGGGACTGCAATCAAAACCATAATGAGGGCCGGGCGCGGTGGCTCATGCCTGTAATCCTAGCACTTTGGGAGGCCGAGGCGGGCGGATTGCTTGAGGTCAGGAGTTCGAAACCAGCCTGAGCAAGAGCGAGACCCCCGTCTCTACTATAAATAGAAACAAATTAATTGGCCAACTAATATATATATAGAAAAAATTAGCTGGGTATGGTGGCGCATGCCTGTAGTCCCAGCTACTCGGGAGGCTGAGGCAGGAAGATTGCTTGAGCCCAGGAGTGTGAGGTTACTGTGAGCTAGGCTGACGCCACGGCACTCTAGCCTGGGCAACAAAGTGAGACTCTGTCTCAAAAAAAAAACAAAAAACCATAATGAGATACCACTTCATAATCTGGTAGGATGGCTGAAATAAAAAGAACAGATAACAAATGTTGGGATAATGTTGAAAAAACATTATACTGCTGGTAGATTTGTAAACTAGCATATCCACTTTGGAAAACAATCTGACAGTTCCTTAAAAGGTTAAACATAGAGTTACTATAAGTTAGCAATTTCATTCCTAGATATACCTAAGAGAGTTGAAAACACATCCACACAAAAATTTGTACACATCATTCATAGCAGCATTATTCATAATAGCCAAAAAGTGGAAATAAGCCAGATTTACCAAATAAAATGTGGTATATTCATACAGTTGAATATTTGAGAGTAAAAAGGAACGAAGTATACTGATACATGCTACAACATGGATGAACCTGTAAAACACTATGCTAAGTGAAAGAAGTCAAAAAGACCACATATTGTATGATTCTGTTTATATGAAATGTCCAGAATAGGCAAGTCTGTAGGGACAGAAAGTAGATTAGTGGTTGCCTAGGTCCAGGATTGGGGGAGGGAGATGATATGGGAGAGACTGCACAGTGACTACTAATGGGTATGAGGTACCTTGTGAGTGTAGTGAAAATCTAAAAGTGATTGTGGTGGTGGTTGTGCAGTTCTATAACTATATTAAAACAGTTGTACACTTTAAATGGGTGAGTTGTATGGTATGTGAAGTATGTGTCATTAAAGCTGTTAAAAAATCTCAGAAATTTTATCAGGATATTTGCAGTCTCAAAATGTAGACAAACAGATTACTCATTATTACAAAGAGAAAAGAGTGACAAAGAAAAAATGTTATTGATTGGCAGATCCAGGTGAAGGGTATATGAGATTTTGTTAAATTATTCTTGCAATTTTTCTTTAAGTTTGAAAGTTATTAAAAATTCAAACATCTTAAAAATTGAAGAACTTAAGTACACATATACAGTTTATTTTATTTATTTAATTCTATTGATAACAGGTTAAATGTCACCAATATTGGCCAGAACCCACAGGAAGTTCATGCTATGGATGCTACCAAGTCACCTGCCACTCAGAAGAAGGAAACACTGCCTATATCTTCAGGAAGATGACACTATTTAACCAAGAGGTAGGGAAGCAGGATATCCATTCATTAGAACTATTGTGTTCAAGGTAAAAACTCTGAAAGCTCAAAATGTTTTTAGTCTGAATACTAGTTACTAGGAAATATAAAAATTACTGAACTATTTTTCCTGCTCTAATGAGATACTTGGAAATTTTACAGAGTTCTCCTATGATAAATGTATTTCTAATTTCTATAGCTATATGTGAATGGTCACTAAAAAAGGAGTCAGTAAATAATACTTATTACTGTTACTACGTTGGTTACTCATAACAAGTATACCAGGGGTGTGTTTGGTTATAAAAAATTATTACTCCCAAAAATACTAATGAAACATTTGGGTATTTCTGTGGACGTTGAAAAACTTATTGAAAGTTGTCTGATTATTTTCTTTTTTTAAAAGAGGTAGAGGAAAGTAATTTCATGGTCCCCTCAGAATTAAGAAGGAAAAAGTCATAGGCAGTACCTTCTGAGAGCAAACAGATTGTAGCCTTCTAATTGCCAGCTCTTAATTCTGCCTGGGTCATTCCTCTTGGCTCCCAAATTCAAAACCAGAAATGGAAACTGATTAATAAATGATGGCTTAATACCCCAATTGAAAGATGTGTATAGAGAGCATCATGCTACCAGTCCTGTCAGGCTGTTAGAGACAGTGCATCCTACTTTCACTGCCTGCAGCTAGATATTCCCCTGCCAGCCACCTTTGGTTTTGAAGGAGACTGAAAGAAGAGAAGAGCAAAACAGCACAAGCTATTAATATGAAGAGCAAAATAGCACAAGCTATTAATATGATTTTAATTTCTGGATTTTAATATGAAGGCCCAGGCCTATCCCTTCAACAGTAAAGTCTTTGAAAATGGGAACTCCCTCACCCCAAGAGTATAATTGAAGGAAACCAGTACAACCGAGCTTTATTAACCAAAAGGAAGGAGCCAGAAGTAGTGTTAATTTATAGAAAAGACATCTGGCATTGAATGAAGCTAAAGTTACAAGAAATACAAAATATAAATTTCAAAATCTTACGGGCTAGATATTTCCTCAAAATGAATTTAGGGTTTGGGGGCGTATGCTATATAGTTAATGGTCTAATGTAGCAGGTCAAGCCAATAGTTCATTTTCCCAAATAGTTAATGAAAGATAGGCTGTGTGTGTTTATATAAAATAATATCTAACTTCAGCATGGTTTCTCTATTGTACTCCACCTATAGATTTTCCATAGCAGTTTTGTTTACCAAGGTGGCTTTTCTTTACAGAGCCTGAGTGCCTTAGAGTACATATTACTAAGACACATACTAGTTTCTAAAATTTGAGCAACACATAATTGGGAAAATAAATTTGCCACCACAAATAAATATACATAAATATAAAATAAATATACATGGGTGAATAGACAACAGAGAAACACTATACCAAGTCTTACCTTTTACTTTCATGGTCTTTTCTGGAAGCTCTCTTAAATGTTAATGACAATAACCAGATTCCATAGTGTTGAGTGACTGTAGCAACTAATTACTTATTGAACATATAGTGCCAAGTAGTTAATTGGGTGATTTACTGGTCCTCTCATGGAATCTTTTTAGCATGAGGCAGTCAGTCCCTTTGAGATGTGGATGTTATTTCATTTTTCAGTTGAAGGAAATGAGGCTCATATTAAATGCCATAACTAGCAGGGTCAAGATTTAAACCAAGATGTATCTAAACCCAATGCTCTTACTCTTTCCAATATACCAACCATTGGCTCCCAAAAGAATTAATTCCTGAGTTTACTTGGTGTTTATTTTTTATTTTTTGTTTTACTTTGTGTTTTTATGCTTTCAGTATGTAATCTACATTTATCTTGAAATTTTATTTTTCTAATTTCCATAATTTTATCTGCATTTTATCAGGATTAGTACAAGTTGATTCACAAAAATGTTTTTGGCCTTACCATTTTTGCTCACTCAACAATTCTTTAGTTTTCTTTAAGCATTTTTTCTGGATTTTAATTTTGTTTCTGCCTGATTACTTGATTATCATCTTAAAAATACTTTACAGATATAGCAATTGATTTATGAAAAGAGTAGTGATGCAGGTAGCCAATGGATACTTAAATGGATACAACTGTTTCTATAGTTTTTTTTTTCCTATTCATTGAAATTTTGTGTTTTAGTGAGTTTATATATTAGTATTTTGGGGGGAAGAGGAGTGGTTGGTTTGCTTTCCTTCTAAAACTAAAATGACATGAATATTTTTAAAGAGAATTCTTAAGTCAAGGTGCACAATTTTTCATTTGCACTTAGAAAAATGAGAGTCGTCAAGTCACTCAGATCCAGTACATAGCCTGGCCTGACCATGGAGTCCCTGATGATTCAAGTGACTTTCTAGATTTCGTTTGTCATGTACGAAGTAAGAGGGCCGGCAAGGAAGAACCCGTTGTTGTTCATTGCAGGTATACTGTCTCCTGTCTTTTATGAATATATAGCTGACTATGTCATTTTAAAAAGGGAGTATGGGCCGGGCGTGGTGGCTCACGCCTGTAATCCTAACACTCTGGAAGGCTAAGGTGGGCGGATCGCTCAAGGTCAGGAGTTCGAAACCAGCCTGAGCAAGAGCAAGACTCTGTCTCTACTATAAATAGAAAGAAATTAATTGGCCAACTAAAAATATATACAAAAAATTAGCTGGGCATGGTGTCACATACCTGTAGTCCCAGCTACTCGGGAGGCTGAGGCAGGAGGATCACTTGAGCCCAGGAGATTGAGGTTTCTGTGAGCTAGGCTGAGGCCATGGTACTCTAGCCCGGGCAAGAGAGTGCAACTCTGTCTCAAAAAAAAAAAAAAAAGGGAGTACGTATTTTATTTTGTCCTTATGTTGTTAATTGTCATTATGATAATTAGAATGGAAAACTATGCTCTGAAGATAGAAGACAAAGGATGTGTTCTAACATGATTGGCAGTAACTTTATCATGAGGTAAAAATAATACCAATTGCACTGAATCTTAGAAGATATTCCTTTTCATATTTTGATGTCTTTGAAATTTGTCTCACATTTTATGGTAATTTAGATTTGATGAAATACAATATTATAGGCTGTCTTAGTCCTACAGTCCAATAGCCTGCTGCTATAACAAAATATTTGAGCCTAGGTAATTTATAAAGAAAAGAAATTTATTTTTCACAGTTCTAGAGGCTAGGAAGTCCAAGATTCAAATTCAACATATGCATTTTGGGGAATACATTCACTTCATAGCATAGGGCCTAGGCATTAGGTTGCACCCTAAAGTTTAGATTCCCTCCCTCCCATCAAGGTACTCCTTCCTTGGCTGCGGCCCCTCTTAGGACATTCATTGAGTACTCCCACTTCTCTTGGAATGGTTCTACTAAGTGTTATTACAGAATATGCTACTTCCAAGACCTCTAGTTCAACAGTGGCAGGCTACCCTTCCTTTCAGATCCAGGTCTGCTTCTGCCCTCAAAGTGCCAAATACAGTAACTACAACCTTCACTGCCACTGACCAGAGATTAGGAAACAGTAATTATTTCCTCCCTGTTTTTACCACTTTTGTTAAGGGATTTATTCAGAGGATAAGTGATTTCTTCAAAGGATATATCGAGATACCTCTTTATCCTCAAACTTTCCAACGGAGAGTAGGCTTTCAAATCATCAAAACAGAGTGTAGACCAAATATTTGAGAGGCAAGTAGCAAGCATGGCAAAACATATTAGGCCATTTCACATCCCGAGTCCTCAATAGCTGCTACATTCATGTTTACAGATTAAACTTCAAAGAGTTATTTTTGATTATCTCAATGGTTAAGTTTAAATTTTGTTTAAAAACCTGACTTATATAAGTGTATAAAATACTGTTATCTATTGCATATTTGTTAATTTATTATTTTAATTCTTTTATTCTGCATTTTAAGGAAGGTTGATCTAATAAACTTCTATACTTTGTTCACACTTTTAAAACTGAAATGTAACTCTTTTAAAATAGTATTTTCCCAACTAACAGTGGTGGGAGGGGAATATAAACTATTTAATCTATATTAAATGAGTCAATTGAGAGCACTTTTTTGTTGTTTTCAAGATATTCTGCGTACTACTTTTGGAATAGAAAACATTCAAATGAAATTGTTCTTTCTGTATTATGACTTCATTTTCTACACAAAAGCTACAAGTAGTTTAACAGAATAATATCAATAAGACACTGCCCATATTTGTCTTTTTTAGTGCTGGAATTGGAAGAACTGGGGTTCTTATTACTATGGAAACAGCCATGTGTCTCATTGAATGCAATCAGCCAGTTTATCCACTAGACATTGTAAGGACAATGAGAGATCAACGAGCCATGATGATCCAAACACCTGTAAGTACTGTGCTTTATATATAAATGTGTATTCTCAACATGATGATTTTTGTTACCAGTGTGTATTCTAAATCATGTTTATCTTTTTAGTCCCTTGCCAGGAGCTAAATAACCATTAGCACAGGGGTCACAAACTATTCCCCACTAGCCAAATCTGGCCTGCCACTTGTTTTTGAAAATAAAGTTTTAGTGGAACACAGTCATGCTCATTTGTTTATGTATTGTCTGGCTCCTTTCGTACTATAATAGCAGAGTTAAGAAGTTGCAGCAGTATCATATGACCTGCAATTTCTAAAATACTTAATATCTGGTCTTTTACAGAAAAAGTTTTGCCAATATGCAACTTGCCTATCATGTTAAATATTGCATACTTAAACAGGTGCAGAGGAACTTGTTTTGTATTACTTGGTCTAGTGGTATGCTGAGAATGATAGTATCCTTGATCTGGAGAGTCTTGAGAAACCTGCTTTCTGTGAAACAGCTATGATGAAATTGCTTTTCTTTCTAACATAAGAACTTAAATTGTAACAACAGCAAAAAATAGTAATAGAATTAAATTATTTAGTGTATTTTACACTGAATCTTAATTATACTCCAGGAATCAAAAAAGGAATCATGGAATTTTAGTTCATGTTAAGATTATCTTTTTTTTTTTGAGACAGAGTCTCGCTTTGTTGCCCAGGCTAGAGTGAGTGCCATGGCGTCAGCCTAGCTCACAGCAACCTCAAACTCCTGGGCTCAAGCCATCCTTCTGCCTCAGCCTCCGGAGTAGCTGGGACTACAGGCATGCGCCACCATACCCGGCTAATTTTTTGTATATATTTTTAGTTGGCCAATTAATTTCTTTCTATTTATAGTAGATGATGGGGTCTTGCTCTTGCTCAGGCTGGTTTTGAACTCCTGACCTTGAGCGATCCACCCACCTCAGCTTCCCAGAATGCTAGGATTACAGGCATGAGCCACCATGCCCGCACTAAGATTATCTTTTATATTAATTAAGCCAATGTGATATGTT